ACTTCTCCACTAAGGGATACCTCAACTCGGCATTTTTCAGCACATGGCTGACAAAGTAGACCGGGAGCTGACAGCCGTCTCTTTCAGCAAGAAGAACAGCGCTTAACGCATGATCAGAGACGGCCAGATACATGTAAAGTACTTCTTTGGGCAAAGGGCTGACTAGCCTCGGCAAGGAATGCAAATGAACTTTCAATTTTTGGAAGGCCGCCTCAGCATCCGGCCCCCATTCAAACCTTGCCTTTTTCTTAATTGCCTGGAAAAAGTATAGGCATTTGTCGCCTGATCGACTTAGAAATCTTCCCAAGGCCGCCAGACAACCTGTTAACTTTTGAACCTCTCGGACGGTACGGGGCGACTGCATGTCAATGACCGCCTGCACCTTCTCAGGGTTCGCCTCTATTCCTCTCTGATTAATGTGAAATCCGAGAAATTTCCCAGACTCAACTCCAAAGACACATTTCTTGGGATTGAGCATGACATGGTGCCGCCTGAGTGTGGCGAAAGTTTCTCGGAGGTCCGACAGATGATCTGTCTGAAGTTTAGACTTGACAATCATATCATCAATATATGCCTCGATATTTCTCCCAATCTGATCAAAGAACACAGTGTTTATCATTCGTTGGAAGGTGGCCGGGGCATTCTTAAGACCAAACGGCATGACCGTGTAACAGTATAACCCTTGATCAGTGACGAAGGCCGTCTTCTCCTGATCCTTCTTCCATAAAGGTATTTGATGGAAACCAGAGTAGGCGTCCATAAAACTCATCAAAGCATGGCCGGCTGTTGAGTCGACCAGGTTGTCAATTTTAGGCAGAGGGTAACTGTCTTTTGGGCACGCCTTATTCAAGTCTGTGTAGTCGACACACATTCGCCAGGTACCATTCGGCTTTTTAACAAGCACAACATTTGCAACCCAGTCTGGGAAGTAACATTGCCGAATGAATCCTGCATCAAGTAATTTTTTAACTTCGACGGCTGCCGCCTGACTTCTTTCTTCGCCATGGTTCCGCTTCTTCTGCCTTACCGGCTTCTTTTTTGGATCCACAGCCAGTTTATGTACCGCCAGCTCAGGACTAATGCCTGGCATTTCATGGACTTCGAATGCAAAGATGTCCTTGTATTCTTTCAACAGATTGTGAAAGTCATCACCTAGGACCCCTAGAGCAGTCGTCCCAACTTTGACTGTTCTGTGAGGACGCGAGACATCTAAGATTAGGTCCGTATGCTCACCAGCCGGCTGAGGGCGGAATTCATCCGACCGCTTCTCTGCCAATGATTGCTATTTTTTATCCTTTCTTGCGGCCCCCATCTGGGATGCCTTTCTTTTCTTGCCGCCTGCTTCTTGAACAGGCGCATTATCCTTGACATTGTCAATCTTTCCTCCACTGGACCCAGCGGCCATAACAGTGGGCTTGACATCCGAGAGATAGCACTCTCGTTCCATCCTCTGATCTCCCCTTAGGGAGCCGACTGTTCCATTGTCCCTCTCAAACTTGAGCAACATAAGAGATGGGATTATTACAGCCTTGGAATTATTTAGGGTTGGTCGTCCCAGAATCATGTTGTAGGCCGAGAGTTCTTCTACCACCAGGAACCGGACTACCATGTGTCGTCCTTCCCCTTTTTCACCCAGGCGGATGGGTAGATCTACTCGTCCTACAGGGTGGACGACTCCTCCTCCAAACCCTACTAAAGGGTGGGAGGCCGGATGTATACAATCAGTTTTGTACTTCAATTTTGACAGACATTTGCTACTGATAAGATCTGAGGAGCTTCCGGTATCTATGAGGATTCGGCCAACTCTCTGATTGGCCACTTTACATTCAATGACGATAGGGTCGTCATGCGGCCCCCTGACCCCTCCTAGATCTTCTTCAGTAATGACAATCTCAGGAAATGAATTTTTGGAGGGCCGTTCTGGGTGAACAGAATTTACATCTAGCCGCCTGATATTGTCTTTGTTGCCCCTAATAGTGGGACCTCCTCCTGCGAAGCCGCCTGCAATAGTGTAGACGACTGCATCATCTGTATCAGAGCTGTCGGCCTGTTGATTCTTTTTGGCCGACTGTTTTTTCGAGGAAGTGCTCCCCTTGGATTTCTTGACAAAAGAGTCAAGATCACCTTGCTCAGCCAGGCGGTCTAGATACCGCATGAGACTGATGCATTCGTTGGTGTGATGACCAACATCTTCATGATAATCACAGAATTTATCTTGGTTCCGGTTGCTTGCGGAACCCTTCATGGGGACCGGCTTCTCAATAGAGATCCGTCCCTTGATTTCTTTTAGGATAGTTTGGATATCCTTGCTAAACGCATACTTTGGGGAGTATGGTTTGAATTCTTTTTTCTTCTTCTGGGCCGGCTGTTTAGAGGAATCAGCCGCCCAGACCTCTTTTCTCTTCTTTTCCTTGTTTGACGACTGTATCTGTCGTCCTTCTTTTTTGTCGAACTTTTTTCCGTCCGAGTGTTTCACTGTACTACAAAGATCAGTTGCCTGTATATAGGCTTCTGCTTCAATCAAGGCCTCCTGAAGAGTCGCCACCCTCTTTCGAACCGGATCAAATTTGAAGGTCGACCCGTCTTTGAGACCCCTGAAAAAGTCAGTATAAGCTACCTCATCCGGTAACCCTTGAATCTGTATTCTCATCAGGTTAAACCGCCTGATGTAGGATCGAAGCCCCTCCTTCTCACCCTGCTGAATTGTTCCCAAATCAAGGGTCGTCTTCTTCGCAGGAATGTTCATGGCGAAGTTGGAGGTGAACAAGTAAGCAAGCGTCCTGAAGTTGTTTACACAACCAGTCGGCAGGTTGCCGAACCATTGCTGTGCAATTCCTTTGAGAGTCGCTGGAAAACACTTGCACCAAGTGGGATCATCCAACCCTTGAAGGTACATTAGGTTGGAGAATGCCATCAGATGATCTTCTGGGTTAGTAGTGCCATCATAGGCGCCTACTAACACATTTTTCACTTTGGCCGGCTGAGCGGCTTCAGTGATTTCCTTGGAGAAGGCCGACGGCTGTTCACCAAGTCTAAGCAACCGTAGCTGCCAGTCCAAAGGTTGGACATTTTTAGCTGCGTGTCCACCAAACGGAGGTGGCTGCATAAAATACTGTTGCTGTGGTACAAACGGTAAGTTTGGTACCGCCTGGTCGCTATGAAAGCCTGACTGACGGGAGGTGCCGCCTGACTGACTCTCATGATACGACTGGGTATGCCTCATCGAGGTACTTCGCAGACTTTCTTGAAAATTTGAAGTAGAGGCCGACTCTGACAGTCGGTCACTCTTCTTCTGTTCTAACAGCAGACGAGCGTCTGTGTATGTTTTCTTCGACCCGTCCGCCTGAATGTGACGAACAGGTTTCCTATTTCCTGGAGTAGGAAAACGGTATTTTGTGAGGTCAAGGGCAGACGGCTCCCACTTCCTGGATTTAGGATGAGGAGTTCCCTCTCGCCCTTGTACCGGTTTCCTCTTGCCTGAGGTGGAAGGTTTCTTAGCCGACTGTTCCTTGGCCGGAACAAGCTTCTTATTAAGCAACTCTTGAATTTCTCCCTTGAAGTCCCTCATGAAGGTCATGAGTTCGTTCCTTGTGATGGGAGCAGACCCATCAGTCGCCTGCTGCCGAACAGACGGTGCGCCTGTTGGCTCACTTACAGTTTGAAAATGTTCCCGTTCCCTCCTTTCGGTCTGACGGGTACGTCGGGCCCTTAGGGTCCCGTCTGGAGCTGTGTGAGCTTCAACTTCAAGTTCATTGTCAGTATCATGGTCCGCCTGGACTTGAGGGTCGTCTAGGGGACGCCTCTCTTCAAAAGTCGGTACAAACGTGGATGCCATCTCAGAAGTACTCTCCCCACAGACGGCGCCAAAATGTTTCGGGGTTTTCTGGTGTCATGCGGGAGAGTTACAACACCGAGACTGGAACCGGACGCCTGTACCTGCAAAACAACGAAGACTCCTTGTGGTAGGAGTTCCGCCTCCAACGGTCAAGTTAGTACCTGATTAAGGAGTAATAAATGCGGAAATTAAAGTGATTTAGTCTCTCTAGGTGAGAGTGTTTAATGTGTAATCCGTGTGTTTTTCGAGTTCTCTCCCTCTTAATGAGGATTAAGAGGAGTATTTATAACCTCGGGAAGCGTGCCACTCTCTAGGTTTAGGGTAAACCTAGGGCTGACTGGGCCTCTAAACAGGATTGGGCCTTGTTGGCCGGTTTTCCCATTTGGCATGGGTGGACACGTGGCGTGTCTCAATTGGTCCGTAGAGGACGTATCTGTGATTGACACGTGGCAGGCTCCTATTGGCCTACGTGAAGGACACGTGGCGGAACCTGGTTGGTCCACTTGTCAGACGGCGATTGGTGGATAAAAATCACCTAATCAAGCTACACTTTGACTAGCTTTTTTGATTTATGGCTATGATAAAACATTGTCAAGTGGGATCTTGTTTGAATCGCCTCAATGTATATTTTATTAAAACCCAATTCTTATAATTTTACAATGTCGTGATTTAGAGATATTAAGCGTTAAAATAGTGCATTGGCAAGCGTGAAAAGAGAAAGGTGTCAACTAAAAAAAAAAACGGAGGATATAATAGCGACAATTTGGTTAAAAAATAACTTCGGCAACACATTGGGAAAAATTTACCCTTAGCTACAATTTGATAAAAAAAATAATCTCATGTTACAATCGGTCCAAAAATAGATTCCCTTTCTTTCAAATAAATAAAAAAAAAAAAAATTACCTCCATTTGTTTTTATTTGCAAAAATAAATTTTGCCTAAAGTCCGTACTAACCCATTTGTTGCAAATAAAAAGAAATGGAGGTAGTAACAAATTCCGATAAACCACCCGCAAATGCCTAATTTTAATTCATGTTACTTTTGTTTAACGATTCACTCTGTACAATTATTTGTTTAAAAAATTACTTAAAAGTAAAATAAGTTCAAGTTAAATAAACGCACCACCGCCAATAATGTTGCAAGCAAGAGTATCGAGTTGTTTTTTTTTTTTTTTTTTTTTTTTAAAAGATGCCCATTGCGAAGTTTAGCTTCGACTACATCCGGATCCGACTTGGGCCTCACACTTGGTTTATGACAGGTGAGTCTCCGAACATGAGTTTTGCATATGATGAGCCTCGAACTCGAGACCTTCCTTAAACGACATCAAATTGCTTACCACTTGAGCGGTTGAGCCAACTCTTGTTGGTGAGTATCGGGTTGGATTGTTGATTGTATTAATTGTGTACTTCGTATTAAATAGGGCCCGTAATCTTCTGCTCCGTATAAATATTGGGTTGGGCTCCAAATTAATTTGATCGATTCAAATTTCCCCGCCCTTTTCTTCCCAAAACGAAACAAACTACTTTCTCTCTCCTCATTCTCTGCTCTGAAGCTCGTCAACAATGGAGGGATCAACGGAGCAAGCAATCGTGCCTTCATCGCATCAAACGAATCCACTTCCTGAGCTCAAATCTCACTTCTCCACCGTCCTTTACGGTTTTTCTCTCTTTTCATCTTCGCTCTTTGTTTGAATTTTCAGTTTGAGTTCTTACAGTTGATTATCGATTTCCAGATCAATTAAAATTAGGTTAAATTTGCATTTCGTTGTTGTATTTTGTTATTTTGTAATTGATTACATTTTGTAGAATTGCGTAAGTTTTTTCGATGATAATGTGTTTGAATTCATCATCTCATTTCTATATATTTCAAGCTTAACATGTCAAATTTAGTTTCGCTTTGAATGTGTTGATTCACCACATTTTTTTACGAAAATTTAGGTTAAATTATCGAATTAGCTTTAATCTCTGTGTTTCTCATATGCAATTTGAGCAATGTTCACTGTTTTGATGTGTTCATATTCAAATTTCGATAAACATGATCAATGTTTTGCTCGAAGTTTCGAATTTATATCTGTATCTTCGTTGAATGTATTCGATTTCACTGTATAATATTTATCATCAAACTTTTAAATTGTTCGTCATCTATGCATTACGCTGATGCTTGATCTCTGATATTCAATCTTTTGTTTATCTCTGTAATCGATGATCATAAATTTTGATGAATTTTCTTTTTCGTTAAACATCGAAATTGCATATTGCTGTTTTTCGCAATTTTGTCTCTGTTTGAGCTAGTTTATTGATACTGATTTATTATATCACGGAGTAGTATTATTATGTTGCTGAATGTAATTGATTTCATGCTAGCACTGTACTTTATCGGCTTAGATTTGAATAAGAAGTAACAAAAATTGGATAAATTAGAAAAGTTCTTTAGATACAAATCATACAACAATGAATTATTTAACTCAAATTCATATTGTCATGTATCATATAATTGCTCTCGTGTTATTTATTGATGTCTGAATTTCTAAGACAAGCTGTTTTACGGATTTCGGATGTTAAGGGAGTTGCAAAGGTCTCAGACAAGCTATTTATAAATGCAGATCTTTCGCAGCAAGTAAAAGGAGCAATGGAAGATCTGCTTAAGATGATCAAGTGAATTTCACAATCTTTAGTCGAAAATTAAGCTGCTGGATAAAAACCAATACTTAATTTGCTAAATACTTCTTTCTTATCAGCATTTGAAATTCAGTGCTTGCTGTGATAATCACACAACCATGTTAATATGTTCGAATGCTTTTCCTTTGATAATTGTGCAGTGAAATTGATGGACACTCTGCGGAAGTAACTGAAGAAATGGAGAGGTGCAGAGAGTCTGCCCTTGAGAGGAGGAAGGCCATTGAGGAAGAAAAGGACTGTTTTCAGAAAGCTGCTTTTGCTGTTCTGGACATGCTGAATACCGGAGAGGGCAAACAAGATGATCAGTAAGATCCTATTGACTTTTATCAGATTATTATGTCACACTGTGATTCTATATGATCATTATTTCTTCATTATATACTTCCTCTCGAGTAATTCATCTCCTGAATTTATTTTAAGATTTGTGCTGTAGATTATTCGGCTAGCAGCAATAATTCGCATAAAAAAAAATAAAAAAAAACCCTTGCTTCAAGGCCTTGACGTTTTATGTTGTTTTGCGCTGTCTATATCAGTAAGTGATGCATTGTTTGATATTATATGCAACAGGATGTTTCTGGGAAATGGTACAGAGTACTGAAGAGAATTTGTCTCAAGTAAAAACTTGCAAAATAATATGGATACTGCAGTAAGTAATCAGTGCATATGCTGAAAATTCGACATTTTCAGGTTTGATTAGATCGTACTTAGCGTTTTGAGCCTTAAAAAGATGCTATAGTTCCTACAAATAATTTGTACAAAAACCCCAAAGTATAAGTCTTCTACTAGTAAAATTTACTGCATGTTTACAAATGTTATAATTTCTGTCAAAATCTTGTCAATTCATAAAAACCTGAAGGATTTTTGCCCTGATCAATCAAATTGACATTAGCAAAGCAAAATTCACACTATCATTTTTCTTGCCTTTTTTCCTTTAAGTATTTCCGTTATTCACAGAACTTTCAAATTAGTATCGCTATATAAATAATCATTTGTTCATACTAATCCCTCATTGTATGTTCTTCAAAGACCGTATTTATATGCACCAATATATCTGGGACATGAATAAGATTTGTAAACACTACACAACAATAAATTTTATTTAATCAATGCTTTTCTCTTTCAACAGTTTATATGTGCCTGCTTGTTCTTGAGCACAAATGTAATGTAGGAGCTGTCAAAACTTTGTTACAATCTAACATTCTTACAATGTAAACTATCTCACCAGGTATACTAAAACCTTTTCTTTTCCTAAACTGTACCCTAAATCTATCAACATAAGCCTCAACAACTACAAAATGGTGAAGTATGACTAAGGCCAATTATGTACAAACTCGGAAAGTTATATACAAACTCAGGGTACAGGCCGCAAGGAAGTTTGCTGTATAACTATAATCCTATATTTTCTTTTACCATGTGTAAACTTGTTGCATTTACATCTCAACAACACCAAACTCAATGCACATTCTTCTGTTGCTTGAAGTAGCAAGCTGCCATTTCAACAATTAGGTCCAGCAATGCAGCATGACCACCAAGAGTTTAATAGACATGCAGAACTGTCAGAAAACAAAGCTCTCAAAATTGGCATTTGGTTAAGATAAGTACAGAACTGGAGTTTGTCGATCCAAGTGTTGTTTTACAGATGAATCACCCCAAAAGAAGCATCATGCTTCTGCAGCAACTGACATCACCCCTTCAAGCCAAGTGCTATCTCCAATTAGTGTAATCACCTCAATAAAGAATTACATATATTGAGCCAACCATTGTTTGCACAAGTCAAGAACTGGGAGTGCATTCGCATGCAGAGCCTGCCCAATACACAAAACAAACTTTATATTATATCAAACCAGACCATATCAACAATCACATGAAAAAACCATATTATTTGACAGTAAACTATAAACTACATTAGTGCTGTGATCCTTGACACTTTTAGTTAGGCTGCTACGGCAAAGGACATGCAACATTGTCATGAAAGTAGAAGTTTAACAATAAGTTCTACAGTATATTTGACGAGAACAATTGGCATGACCTGACCTTTCAATCTACAGGGTAAATGTGTTTATTTGATAAAAATGTTGTGCATCTATAACTGTAGTCTAGCTCAGCAACATACATGGGCATGTGGCTTTATTGATTCTACTATAGAGGACATAAACCAGGACTCAGAGAAAATCAAACCTGATGTGCCACATATTGAACATCGGCCACACTGCCACTTCTGGAGGCAATTTGGAAAGCACCTTTTAGACGACCACAGACAACACAAGCCAACACCTTCCTGCACATACACAAGTACCATGTTTTTTAAAATCCAGATTACTTTCACAAGTAAAACCATATACAATTCTAGATATTTGTGTATGAGAATAGGATTATATAAACACACAAAAAAAAGGTCCATTAAAAGTAAAATGAAAACTACACTTATTCTAAGCCATAAATTTTCATTGAAAAAGGGGGGATCTAGAATTCAACCAGAGAGGGATTTTACAAAAGATTTTCATTCTGAGGGTTCCACACACCTGTTCACAATTCTTATACTCAAAGAAACGTCTGCTTCAAGCAATATATTACACTAAGGCAACACCATGAGCGCGAAATAGTTGAGAGCCAAAGAAGGGATACTGAAACTCTTCAATTGCAAATTCTGCCTCTTAATCTATGCATAAAATTATTTACTATGATTCAACAGGAAATCCCTTCTAGTTGTACTTACTTCCCGGTTGCTGTCTCCTTTTCATACCAGGAATAGTCTTTCAGTCTCAAATCCCTCCACCCTTTTTAGCACCTTCTAATTCAAGTAAGCATTTTTTTACCAGGGTTCTTGCGTCAAATCACTCAAGAATAGGGTTAGGCTGTGTGAAAACATGGTACCCATAACGGGATTTGTCTATGTTCAACAGAATTGTTAGCTATATAGGCACGTGCTTGAATTAGCCATCTCACCTGCTTGATAGCCATATTGCAAAGTAGCTTAATTGTACCAGCCAGTAGACTAAAATTACTAAACAATTGCTTTACTAAAAAGAACCACGGCCGCAGTCTATATACCTTTTATACACAAGTACATGAAATGTAACATACAAGAAGTTCATAGTTCATTACCTGTGGGTACTGATTAACATGTCTATGAGACGATCTGGGCGCTCCTTATGTTTGTTTGCATAAACATTTATGGCAGTCCCCAAAACCTAGAGCATCATAAAGTTAAAGACAATTAAAGCCAGGGATCAATGCAATTGTAGAAATCCCGATAAAATCCCAAGGGAGTAAAATATGTCCTGGATTATTAGGCAATGTGCATAGAACTAAAAGGTAATAAAAACAAATTAGAGCCAGTAGATGATTAGGCAGCAATATAACACATCTCACATTTTGAAGGAAATGATGATAGGTTCCTTAATCATTTAACAGGTTGACAAGCTCTAAGGTGGCAGGTCAAAACACGGTATAATTCAAACTGGAGGTTAGTTTGACTTGCACTTTTATTCAAGGAGAATGATAAGTTCAAGCACAAGTTAAACAGTTAAAGAAACTAATTAAGGAAATTAAAAAAATTGTACTCGATATTATTTCTAAGGCCAACTGTTTTCCTTTAATAAGCATTAAAAAATAAGAAAACCAAGGGCTTTGATTTAGCTTTGTAATTCGGGTTTAAGCCAAAATTAAGCATCTTCCTCGCTAAATTATGCAGATATGTTGTTTTAGCTCAACTTATCGTCTATGACCTCCTAACTCCTAAGCTAAAGAGATAAAACATATTTCAAATTCCAAGCCAGATATTTTCTTTGTTCTTCTCGAGCCTTCTTGTGGCTCATCTTCAACAATAGTTTTTAAAACAGAGGCTAATCTAAAACTGCGAAAAGAAAACCATGTTCAATGTAGTAACAGAAATACAGTTACAATGATCTGATGAATAATCATGCTAGAAGAACTAAATATCCCACTTGATTACGTTGTTGATACCAATGTTAAGAAAAGAAAAAGAAGTACCTCATCCCATTCATCATCAAATATATTCCCCTTAATGTTCCTTAAAAATTCAGTCAACAGGTTCCCCTTTTTCCTTTCAGCAAGCGATGCAGCGACCGCAGCATAAATATCCACAGCTGTAGATATTGAGTTAGAGCCACAATATGTATGCTTAAGCAAGATGACATCAATAAAAGCAGGCAATAAATAGGTTACCAGGAAGATCAAATTGACAGACAACTTGGTAAGCCAAGTCAAAGTTCTTCTCTGCAAGAGTTTCTGCAATTTGACACCTCCTCCTGTAAAAGCATTCCAGAAATAGAAATGAGATATAGGCCCTCACAAGGCGTATAAATGAAGCTGATTACATAGCAGGAGGGAGTAAATTCCAGATAAATTATGATTTCTTTTCTACACTTAATAAATGGACACTACTAATCTGTACCACCAAGAAGTATCAGAGACCTGAACGTTTCAGGATCATTTGGATTTCCAAAGACAGAATGTTTCCACTGTGGACCTTCAGTTTCATTCAGGCATTTCACAACTTCAACCTATGATGGTAGAGAAAACACTAGAAGCGCATTAGTTTTCAAAACCATCAATTTACCAGCATCACAAAACACGTCAGAGAAAAGACAAGAAAAATAGATGTGCTAGATAAACACAATAAGCAGGATTGAACGGGGGCTAGGGATTGAGTCCATCCAACATCCATCACTCATAGTCATACAACTTTTTTGTTATACAAATTTAAGAATGTACTGTAACCTATACCAATAACATATTAATTTAAATTATAGTATCATAGCTGTAGCAGTGTAGCCTATAGTTCTTCTGTTAATTTAAAATGAAGGCAAAGGTACTGCGTAACAGAAAAGAGGGGTCATGTTAAGGGGCTATCACATGTATTATTGAATACAGAAATGCCGTTAATCAGAGAGAACAAAATTTCTGGGAGAGGGAACACATCTGGAGCAGTACTCTTTCAGATATTACTATAAGCATAGTAGCAGCAACATAATACACCAGACAGAAATTACAGAGAGATCCTATGAGCATGAGACCAAAGGAACACTATAGTTATTACCCTTTTTTAGAAACTATACTAACTAGACACCTCATTTTGGAAGGCAGACCAACAACCTTGTGCCCCAAAATTTTGGCTGAAACTCACATAAGACACCTATGAATGCTTCATGTTCGCACATTAGGCAATAAAATATTATTGTGTCTGCAAACCTCCGGCAGATCTTTAGTTTTTCAGTTACCCAATACGGGGTTTCACACAATAATTAAGCTTGCTTTATGACCACAGCAGTTCAAATGATGGTAGATAGAAGAAAATATGTGTTTGGTATCCTGAGCTCTTTTTTGATGTTCGGGCCTTTTATAGTTCCAATGAAATGTTGCAAACGAATCATACCAATATAATACTATCAAGACACAATAGTTTTATAGTATCTGAACACAACTAAAATGTGAAATTTTCGTGAATTATATAAGTCTATATTTGTAGTAGGTACCAAGCAGCCATATACTTTTTTTCTGGAAAAGACAGTCAAAGGGGTTTGTGTGAATAGTGTAAAATTTCCAACCTTGCGATTGAAAAAGCAGGAAGTACTTTTTATTTTATTTTTATTTTCCAATAATTATTTGGCAATTCTTGTTGGCATTTCTATGATTTGTCATGTTCGTTTGATAATAAAGCACACATTAGTCCTCTCTCTATTTACTTATATAGGTATCTATCCAATCCGAACATATAACAAGTGACACTAGCTACTTGTGTTTGTTATCATCAACACACAAAACGAGTCTACTGCCTGATATCCAAATAATTAAAATTTTAGATTCACCCACTAACCCCTATCTCAAAATAAGCTCACATTGAAATATTAAAATGTCCCTGAAAACTTATGCACTTTGAATGGGTGTATCTCCAAATATACATTGTATAGCCATATTTTTTATTTTGTCGATAGTTTCAAGAAATCCACTATAAAATAGGCAAATTGGAACACCATTAAAAGTTACTCTAGTCACAAGGGCATCCTTAGTCACGCCAAAATTACGGAGAAAGCTAGTATGGAAGATTGGAAGGCGTAAACAAAAATATGCATAAGTCTGGGACAGAGAAAAGAAAGGGGCATCACTAAATGTACTAGGTGTAGAGTATAGGGAAAAAAAAAGGTCATTTTCAACCATATCCTCATTTTAAACCAATATCTAACCACATGGAACAAACGAAATGATTTTGCTATGTCAAATGGAACAATTCCCAAGTATTAATTAGAGTCAAATGGACCTAAACTAAATGATTTGATCAAAAAGGACCAACAATAAACCAAACTTGAAACGGACCAAACATCTTACCTACTCTCTACATTTTATCACAAAACTTCAAACTTATTAATCTCAATCACACACCAATTATATTACACCCTAATAGTCAACATAGATTTTAGAACATTTTGAGATCGATAACAAAAGATAATTATTACCTAATCTAAATCTCTAATTAAAATAAAAGATAAACAATACCTAATTATTAAATCTAACAATTACCTAAAACATAACTATTAGCAAACTAGATCTAATCAACATGACATCATCGAGGTAGAAACAAAAGAAAAAAACTATATCTTCCATATTCACATCAACAAAGAAATAAATTCCACAACAAAGGAGCACATAGATACAAGGCAATAACTTAATTCTTCTGTTATATATACCCAATACAAGTATCAAATTTTACTTAATCACAAAGCACCAAGTGTTGTTTTTCTCCGGTTTCATAACATCCAAAACAGCTAGCAGAGTAATAGGCTAATACAGTCAAAATAACTCCTCCAAAACAGTTAAAACAAGATCTCAATTACAAGCTAAGTTAGCTAACAATCAAATTTGCTCCAAAAGATGATAATTGCAAATCCCATCCAACTCCAATTTGGATCCATCAAGTCACATTATTCCTTGATAAAAGTACATAATCCCAGTGCCAACTAGCAAGATTAACTCAAGCAAAAAAAAAAAAAAAAAAAAAAAAAAAAAAAAAAAAAAAAAAAGGTGGCAAAATTGCACATATATTAATCCATAGCTGCTTGACCACTACATCATTTAGAGTCGGAAATGTAAGGCAGCACTATCAGAAACTATAAAGCAAATGTATTACAAGAAACACATAATTGGTATTCTTCATTTTGATCCCATGAACATTAGCAAGTAGAAACAAGTCAACAAAATCCCAAAGACTATAAATCATAAGATTTTAATGAATTGATGCAATTACCTGAATAGCAGCCCGAGCTGAAAGTTTGTTGAGTCCTTCCTCAGTAAGTTTCTCCGAGGCACTTTTACCTCGAATGCCTTTTCCGACAAGTTTAGCTGTCTCTCTACGGGCTGTTATCCCATCATCAAAATGTACCTACGCTCAAAATAAAAAGGAAAACAAATATAAATAGTGCATGTGCATTGCAGTGGTCTACATGCAAGTTAGATACACTCTCCAACGAGCAGTGTATGGTATGTGTTTGTAGTTCTAAGGTCTTATTGACTTAATCTGGAGTCTGGACTATGTAAATACTTTGGTATTAGGGAGTTGATAGGGTCTTTGTAACTTATGCCATCTGAGCGTATTGTAAACCCACATATGATCACTTATTTTAAAGTGAGTTGTGGCTTGGAGATCAAGATAGCATAATTATATTCCAAATAGTTCGCAAGTCTTATCACATATAATTATGATATTATATCCTCACTTAGGTAAATTTACCCACAAAATGAGAATTTTTAGCAACATCACATCCAGTGACACAGCCTTTAGCCAATGACAACCATTGACGCAAACTTTTCACAATAAAAAATTTAACACGAACTTTATCACTGCGGAAACTCAATGACATTATAGTCACCAGAGTGGATCTCAGACCAAAAAGTTTTAAAAACAGTAAAATAATAGAAAAATAAATTAATACATTAAAATAAAATAACCCACGCAATTTTATTTTATTTTAAATAAACAATTCATCCTTCCTTTCTTTCTCTCTCCTCTCTTCCCTTCTCCACCTAGTTCTCTTTTCCTCCACTCTATGGGTTTTTATGACTTACAAATCACCGTTGAAAGCATTAACTCCGAAATGCACTCTCTCTTAGAGAATTAGGTGGAGAGGGAAGAAGAGGTGGAGAGAGAGAAAAGAGAGAAGAAATGAATTTTTAATTTTTATATTTATCTTTTAGGGAGATTTTTAAATTTTAATGCTTAAAATTTTGATAATCACTAAAAAAATTCAAATTTTTTTGGCTAGTGGGACCTATATCTAGTCATTGAACATGTTTGGTGATACTGATAAAGTTCATGTGAATTTATTTAGTGTGAAAAGTTCATGTGAATGATTGTATTTTGGCTAAACTTTGTGTCGCTTGGTGTGATTTCACCTAAATTTTCAGTGGCTACACCGTGTTTCAACTTATTTCTCCCTTCTCATGCTTGTTTTCTTCCCTTACTTCAGCTGTTAAGTATTTCAGTTACCCACAGACAACCAATAGTCAAAGATATTTCAACTTCAATAAATAAATGATAATACTAATTCATTAAAAAACTAATACATAGCTCATAAAATCCTGTAAATACTACAGGAGAAAGGGATCACAAAAGTAGACAGCTTAAATGCTTGCTTCTCTATGCTCATTAAAGACGGGTAATAAAAATGGTTGCTCAAGAATTATGAACAGAAACAAAATTTAAATTATAATTAGCTCACAAATTAAGTCCAGAAAATGCAGGCTTATTTAATCATCAGTTTTTATACTCTGCTGTTAAAGGAGGACAACCGATGATATCAACAAAAGCAAATTAAATTAAGTTAATCATATCTTTACTAAAGCCTACTGGATTCACAACAGCTAGTACTAGACTTATATGGAGTATATACCCTATAAAGAATAAAGAGAGTGAAGAGGCAGAAGAGCTTTTGCCATTACAAAATGCAGTGATTGAGAGGTTAGTGGTACCTTGGCATTTTGCAAATGCTTTACCGCATCTTCTTGGGACAAAGAATTCATAAATAACTGAATACAGCAAAGACCAGCAGCAACATGATCTCTTTTAATCACCTGCATCAATAATAATGATAATAGGAGATCAGTCAAAATTTGCATTAATGAACTAATGAGGAAGATAAGTATAGCCAGAAATATGATTGATGACAATAATGGGGAAAAAATGAAAGCAAACTGGTCTCAGCAGGCGCAATTTTAAACCTTAGTATGATTGATGACAGGTACAAAAGCCAAAGCATCCCAACGTAAACAACACAATTTTCATATACTTAAAAGATAAGTGTATGAAAGATTTTGCAGTATTTGGATGGATTACAGAAGACATACACAGGGCACTCAATGCAAACTTTACTTTGACTGACAGTTAATGAGGGATTTTGAATTACCAGAAACTTGTAGAGGTAGTTAAAATGTTTATGAGTCTCGCAATAGTTGCATATTTTAGCCAATGCCATCTCAGTATACTTATTTACAGCAGAGTCTAGGGATGCTGAAGATGAAATCCTCGCAGAAATCACTTCTTCCAACACAGACATAGCACCATAGTTTATACAAAATTCGCATAAACTGTCAATGGTGCCATAATCAGTTACCACAGAGTCTGGTCTCTGTGGAGATGAAGATGAAGTAACTGTCCCGACAGATGATGGTTGAGGAGGTAGAGGAACACCGTCAGGAGGAAAGAATAGCAAGCAAGCATCATTATAATGTCCATGCCTGAACATAAAATCTAGCAAATCCTGTCGTGCATACTGCATAAGAAGAGAAAATTACTTACACCTAAACGCCAGTGGATATTTTACAGCATAGGAATTCGCAAAAGGAGAATAGGGAGTGAACATCACATAGTAAATTCCAAAACTGCGAAAAAAAAAAAAAAAAAAAAAAAACTAAAATATGTAGTCAATCCTCACTGCCTACAGGCAATAGCTACACTGACTATAGCAGCATAGACTTCAAGAATCACAATTTAAACATCAGAAGGGCAGCAGTATCCTGTAAGTAAAAGACAAAACAAAATCACGTAGAAGACCTCACTAAACCCATGTTAATGACAACAAATAAAAGGCCAACTGACCAAATTCTCCTTTAATTTTTACTCCAACACTGATCACATATACTAATAGGTTAAATTAAATTTCCGATTCTTACATCTTGAAGGTAGTTGACACATTCAAGGTACCGAATATTATCCAGATTGCTGCGTGGTCCATCATCATAATCTGTGCCACTCATTGAGCTACTATTTTCAGGCTCTTGGGACCCCCTTGACCTCTCTGAACGAGGAAAAGTAGATGGCATGTGCAGGACATTAAGATATGAATCTGCAGATAGAGAATCATCTAGAATTGTCGGTGCACTTTTTGCAAGATGTTCATACCTGTAACATATATTACAACAATCAGCTACTAAAGTACATTTCTTTCTTGACAACTACATTTTTCTTTTTTTTTTTTGGTTTTATAGATATCATTTAATAGGATTACCTCAAACGAATTATCTAACACACAATGTCTATAATCAATGCTTATGCAACTGATAATCCAGTATGCATACATAGCAATCTCTTTCTCTAGGAGAAAAAAGCAAGGTAAAAAAAGACGGCATATCCCACTTACATGGAACGAACTGCAGACACATCAACTGGAGGACCACCTTCAATAGTGTTAATGATGTCCAAAATAACTGGTGCAACATGGAAGTCAGGATCGATCTTGCGCAGTTGGAGAGCTTGTCTGCATGTCAGCAGGAAAGTGTCAAACTATCAATCATAAGCCTCTACATCTGTCACCCATTTCTCTTCCACCCAAAGGAAAAACTGAGAAACTATATAAACAAAAAGACCTGGAGAGAGCATTCAAAACTGAAAAGGAAAAAGAATACCAGAGACTTTGAGCAGTGTAGGAAATACATACATAAATTTCACACGGGCCTGTGAATAGTGCTCCATACGAAGTAAAGCATGCCCCCATGCGATCCATACGGGAAAAAGATCAATCTGAAAAGTGAACAAAGCAAACTCAAAAATTTCTTATTCAAGGGAATATGCAACAAACAGTTAATGTCATCTTTGCAAAGAGATTAACCCAAGCCAACTTAAACAATAACTAAGAGGGGTATACAGGTAGAGTTGCAGATCTAGTGAAGCACAGTTAAATATCCATGGTGAATTGGTGATAATGGACATTTACTGTATATTTAGATAGAGAAAAGTGGAGGAAAGGAAAAGAAGAGAAAGGAGGGATGCATTGTTTGGATATCTAATGCAAGGAGGGAGGGGAGGGAATTGAAAGGATCCATTTTCTTTCCTCTTTTAATAAACCAAATCCCTCCATGGTTGAAGAGGTTTAGAAGGAAAATGGAAGGTCACCTTCTCCCCCTCCTCACCTCCCTTTCCCTTCCCCTTCTTTATTGTATCCAAACATAGTGATAACAATCAGCTCAAATTCATAGTTTAGACAAGTCACCTTAGGTCAAAGGAAGCCTTACAAGGAGCAATGCAGCTTAAGAATACTATAACAGACTTTTCTTGGAAAAAAAAAGGGGGGGGGGGGGGGGGTGGGGGGCGGGAGAATTTGTTTATGGTAACCTCCATTAAAGTTAAATTTCAAGTTAAACTACCATTCAGTTTCATAACTCTCCAATTCTTTTTACTAATCTACTAGGCTAATAGCAGTGCAAGACTGTACTCTCCTAAATACTGCCTACTGTGGGATCTTACCAAAATAGAGATGGGGTCAATCAATTTAAAACAGAGGGAAGTACCTTGCACTTTTTGCAAGTATAGACAGCCATGCTATAACGTTCCTCCCCAATCAATCTGTCACGAAGACACGCAGATGACTCCTGGTCAGCAATATCATCAAGAGAAACAGCAATTCCTGATCCAAGAAGGCTCTGAAGTAATTCCGCATGTCGAAGCCAGGCATCAGCTTGCGACAAGAGCTCAGATAGTTCATCTGTAATTTGATTACCAGCACTAGAGCTTCCAGCTTCAGATGATCCATCATCTGCATCCTTGCTTCTTTCAGAATTACCAGGTAAGTCACTGCTCCCAACAAGTTTCTTAAGCAGTGATCTAGCATAGAGTAGTCCCTGCAGACATTGAAACACAGTCATCATGTAAGCTGCAAAATCCAAGTAATGTGTACAATCTGAACAGCCTATTCGACACTTACAAGTCCCAATCCAAATGCCCACCCCTCTGCCCACTAGCATATAGTACTCATTGAGAAACAAAGGTGAACAAAGAACAACTTGTAACCAGAGACAAAAAGCCCAACAAATTTAATAATAAAAAAAAAAATAGCTCAGTCGGTCACTACCTCTACAAATGTTTCTGTTGCATGGTATGCTTGCCCAATAATTTCAACAGAAGCATTCTCGGGAAGTTGTTGAGAGCTTAAAACGCACTTCATTTGATTGACACACAAATCTATGGCACCTTTTGCAGAAATTGTTCCATCAGAACACAAGGAAAGAAGTGCCTGAAGAGAAGAGACACAACAAGCATAAAAGCTAAAATCTAAATAATAACAATAAGAAAGAAATATAGCTTAATCAACAATTCAACATCAAGGTACGAAGGCAAGCAGAACTGCAGGTACAGAGAAGCATGAAATGCAATGGCAATTGATCATAAAAATGTATTTCTCAACATTATCTAACAATGTAAATAATATCAATCAAGTTAATGTGCAAAACAAAACAGCACGATATCATAATTAGATTACCAGTCAAAACTTTAATTTTCACCCACCCAAAAAATAAAAAAAAAAAGAAAAAAAAAAAACACTCTATACTCATGGAAGCCAGTGTGATGACGTTGTAATCAAGATAAGAGCCAACAACTTGCTCTTTGTACCACTTAAACCAACTTTGGGCCTATTATCTCTAAGAAGAAATTTTCATTAAAGGAGTAGGCGAAAGCTTGATTCTAAGGAGGGAGAACAGGTCATTTATAAGATGGCGAAGAGAAGACAAAAGGCGAGGAAGGATATTGGCATGGTAAAGTGTGTCAAAGATAAGAACCAAAATGTTTTAGTACAAGATGAAGACATTAAGAACAGGTGGATGGGGTACTTCAACGAATTGCTTAATGAAAGTCAAGGAGTTGTGATAGGAGATACCTTTGTGAGTGATGAAGAAATCAACATGCAGAATGTGCGGAGGATTAGGAGAGTAGAGGTAGAGACCGTACTGAAGAAGATGAAGCCTAAGAAAGCAGTTGGTCCTGATGGTATATTGGTAGAGGTATGGAGGAATTTGGTTAAGATTGGTATTGATTGGTTAGAGGACCTCTTTAACAAGATATGAAGGGACATATGGATCTCAAAAGATTGGAGGAAGAGCACCTTGGTCCCGCTCTATAAAAACCAAGGAGACGCTCAAGATAGTTTCGAGGGATCAAACTTATGAGCCACACTATGTTTTAATTTATTACCCATATGTTCTAAACTTTAAATCATGTGTTCTAAATTTTTAATCATATGTTCTTAATTTTAGATCAGTTCTCATATAAGTATGGGATCTCATATATATCTCAAAAAGGATCACAAATAAATTTACTGGACAGAGGAGTAATTCACTAATTTGTTGTGGGATAATGTAACATAAACTGCATTGTCATGGGCTAAAGCGGCCACAGTCCACCAGCCGGGGCTGTCAAGAGATGATTAAAATAACAAATATATTGGGTTGATCAATAATTCTGTTTCCTAGGAGGACAACTTGTCCTTGTTTGCTGATTTCATTTTTTGCTGTTAAATATGCTCTCGTTTTCTCATCACTAATAAATAAGAAGTTATATTTCCAGAAAAATTCAGTTAGTATTTAATACCTGATATTCTGAAATCATACATGCATACCTTAATAAGGTGATTACGCATACCTTAAATAAGATGATGTCTGGAGCACTGTCATATCGATGAGAAGAACGGACACCATCATCCTTCTTTGGGTCACCTGTCAGCATCCATTCTTCAGCAATTGACACAGAAGGAAGTCGATCTTGTCCATCAGCAGTTAACGAGGAAGCATGATCTTCTTGAATTCCTGTCATTGTTTCCCATGCAACTTTCTCAGACGGTGTTAAAACAGAGCTTTTCCTCTTTTTGTGTGGCTCCTTTGGAGGGACTTTGTCTGCAGATCCACGTGGAGTCCAAGAAGAAAATGCCCGCCGAGCCTCCTTTTGCAAGTTACTAAAACTACTGGTCAAAGATGATTTTGTAGGAGTTGCAGTTTTTGTTTTCTGCTTAAGTCTAGAGCCAGATACAGATATTCGTGTTTCTCTGGGTGGGGAGCTGATACTGACAGCAATGGCCTTGGTACCATATTTGAGAATTACATTGTCGTCCCTAAGCGAAGGAAACTCCTTAAGGATCTGAAGAAGAATTCAACAAGCTCACCATAAGAACTAGTAACAAAGTAATTAGTTAGATATCTAATATTATCTAAAGAGAAAAAAAATAAATAAAAAAAAAAAAAATCGGCTAAAATGAAGTACACTAATAAATCAGCACGAACTTCAATATCCCGGCAGACAAATCTGATAGACAAACAACAATTTAACATATACTTCCTCCGTTCTTATTTAATTGCAACGTGGGTGTTTCATGCTTTCCAATGCACATTATATGCAATTAATATCTTATATAATACCCAAGTAAAAAATATAAATATAAAAGTTAAATTAATATCTTATATAATACCCAAATGACTGTTTTTCCTAAAATTTGAACCAAAATGTTTTAGTACAACTATGTAATGGAAATAGATCGAGGATGAGAGAGAAAGATAAGCAAGGTGTTTTAGGTGAATGAATGAGAAAACTAAGCAACCAAATTAAATCTAAAGGATAACTTGGAATGTCTACTGGAATTGGTAATGTCGTGCACTCTCTGCCCAAATACCTGTCTTAGGTGAATGAATAAGAGTAAAAAATATGTATATTGAGAAGTAAAATTATGCACATTTTATTTAAATTTTATGCACATCAAATATAAATCGAAAAATATATGCACATTCAATTAAAAACCTTTGCACATTCAGTACAAAATATATGCATATAAAATCCTTCTCGTTTTAACAAACTTCTCATTTGACCCTATATATATATATATATATATATATATATATATATATATATATAATTGGAGCTACAACTTACCAGAGAAGCAGACTGTAACTGTTTTCTCATCAACAGCACCTCAAGGATCAGTTGAGGATGCTCATGGAGGGATGAGCATCTTTGCTGCCATGGCAATGGCAAGGCAGAAAGCACACGAAGACCCAAAGCCCATGAGTTCAGCCTAGATACCTCAGCATCAGATAGATTACTGTCCTTCCGTTTCAGAAAAAAGTGAACCTACAGCAGATGGGAGATGTAACTATATCAGAAATTGAACTCCAAAAAGTTAATAGCACATTCAAAATAATGAAGGGTGCCTTTTTGTGTGTGGTTATGTTAGAAGAGATTGAGCACAACAAAACAGTAATAGAGCACCAGGATTGAAAAATAATTACAAGAAGTTGCTTTGATCTCAGGTTAGGCAAAAGTTGCATAGCTCCCATTGCAACAGGTAAAGCATCATTTGAGTCACGCAAAGATGAAAGAAAACGTGAGGCTTCAGCTGGACCCCCTCCACTCAATGGGTCTGCTGTAAGAAGCTTGACAAGCTGTCTTCCTTGTAATTCTCTACGAAGATCAATAGACAATCCGGCACTCTCAGCTACCTCCAAAGCAGCAGAAACAGCTCCCTTTTCAGCTAATTTAAGTGCTAAGCCCTCAGGATCATCCTTGCAAGCTGCTTCAACCTTATAAAGCAAATAATACAGAAAAGATAATTCAGCACTGTAAGCAATTTTGAACATGAGAGCATCCAAAACAATACTACAAACCTCCTGCCAACTTCGGTACTGGTCATCTGCAGATAATATGTGCTTGTACTTTTGTAAAGCTTGTTTTCGTTGTAGGACCTAATCATCAAAAAAAGATCACATGTCAATAATTTTCTTTTAGGGGCTGTGATTCTGGGGGTGAACTACAACAAGTGCAATATTACAATCCAAGTTGTGGTAATGGAATCCAAAGGGTTAAGCTGTTAGTCTTGAAAAGATGAAAGATAGTAATATCTATTAGCATTTAATGAAATCATTCAATCCAAAATAATCCATGGTTGGGAGACAGTGAGGTCTTAAGTGGAATAACAGTGTCACAGGGATGGTTGCAAACAACCAGATAAATCTGACTTGAAAAAAAAAAAAAAAAAAAAAAAAAAAAAAAAAGAAGAAGAAGAAGAAAGATAACAGGGCATCCATTGACAAAGGAAGGTACCAATGATTGGCTGGGAAACTCATCTTTCAATTAGAAGCATATCAAGTTTATTTGAATGTGAAAAGCATATACATGGATAATCCCAAAATTCACATGGAAGTTGTTCATAGGATTAGAAATGAAGCAACTTTTATAATATCAGCATCTAACTTATCAAATATGGCTTTAGATGGTCAAATTCGACCATGAAAACTTCATACCTAAAGTTTTTATGTTTGAATATGACCTTTAAAACCTTATGGTGGAGGTGAAACAATAAGAGGAGGAGAAGAAAGCAGTGGTGATGGCAAGGAGATAGTGGTAGCGGCAGCGGCAGGAGAAGTGATGGCGGTGGTGTGAAGGGGTTGGCAGTGCTCCATAAAAATGAGAGATAAGTTGATAAGATATATATTGACAAGTAACCAAATATCACCCAAACAACACAATAAATCAAAGGGTATCACTTTCCTTTCTCTGTCCATTGGTCTATCCCCTTTCTTGATTACATTCCCTTTACCCCGTGTGAACCAAATGATCCCTAAGTTTACTCACTTTTACACCCTCATATGTTTTGTAATACCCCATATATTTATGATATGACAAAATATATGTAAAAACCAAAATTAATTTCATTTCATGAGTTGGGGGAGATAAAAAGTATACATCCTTTTTATTTTAGAGTACCATTCTGAGCGAGAAAAGATATATACTCCCTCTGTTCTTTCATCTTCTATTCAGTTACTTACTATAGATATGCAATTCAAGAAAACATTGAAAAAGGAGAGTAAGTGCAAGATAAAGTATGAAAAAGTAAGAGAGAGAATGTAAGGTGGATGGATGTAAGAAAAAAGTGAATGAAGAGAGTGAGTGGAAAGGTGTAATTATTGTGTGGGAAAAGGGTAAGATGGCTAATGGATTAAATCTAAAATAGAATAAAGCAAAGTAGAACAAAAAAGAATGAACTAGAAAGGAAAGTTTGTAGAACAAAATAAACGAAGGGAGTATTTCTTATTTAAATTAATAGTTTTATTTTAGTAAATGAATTTCCTCAATTATATATCTTTCTAGTTTTAGAAAGTTATAGCCCTATATTTTTCTCTATAGGACTCTAATATTAAGGGCATTTTATACCCCTATACGGTAGTTTTTTTTTGTCGTGGCTGCTATCATTGATTTTGTCACTACCGATTGTGACATCTCATCTAGCACTTAGAATTATCTCCAATTCCCTTGGTCACCATGGGAATCATCACAATATGAATACCATCAGTAATGTTTAAAATTATCTCTGTATCATCAGCAAACTTTAACTCTTTGAATTTCTAGTCACTATTATGCGTAAAAATCATCGAAAGAAGATCGGACAGATTCCTTTAATCCCTTTTGTCATCTTGTGTACTGAATATCAATGAATCAAATGACTATCATCACCATCATCATCATCGTCCGTTAATTTTGCTCCCAGCAGCAATCTTGCCCGTGCATGATTTGGTGTGAAGTTCAAAACATTCTTTGTCAAATTCGGAAAGGTAACTATACTTCTATCGGCTTGTAGATGTATAATTATATATTTTGCAGAATTAGCAGAAACCATAAATATCAACTTGGAGTTGTATGATACGTTATTTTGTTAATATTGCATGCATTATTATATTTTGTGACGTTCAATTGATATACTCATTCCGTCCCAAGTCCATTGTCACACCATCCTTTGCATAGAGGTGTAGGATTATCAATTTTATTTTAATAGAATAATATATGTGATGAAAAATAATAAAGATTTTTTTTAATGGAATAAGAGAGATGTGGAACCTTACTTTTTATAGTAGGAAGAGAGAGTAAGTGCAACACTTAAAGTGGACAGACATAAAAGAAAGTGTGATGATTATATTTGGGACAATGGACGGGGAAGTATTATTAATTGGTATTGATCCTTAGAACGTCCGTAGATCAAGGAGCAATCTCTTACTTCCTTCGTTCTTTTTTATTGCCCTGTTTCATTTATCACACTTGCCAATGCATAATTTTAACCATCAATAGCTTTAATTGTCGACAGGTAAAAATTATTATAAGGAAAAATTAAAAATAAAAAAAGATAATTATAATAATATTTTGTGAATCGATTGTAACAACATATGACTCGCAAAAGACGATCAAAGGAGGAGATGTGAATAATGTAAACGTCAAAGTAAGTCAAGTTTAAAGGAACGGAGGAAGTTTAATAGTTTAAAGATTTAATCATAGAGAGATAATTAACTCCAGTGATCAGAATATTTAGCTGGAGGAGACCGATTCCAATCAACTACTTCAATTATAGCTGAACCTATTCCGTCATACACAAAGTGTAAATTGGATCAAGTTGTGGTCTCACATGTGCATGGGAAAGGCCTAGCAAAGGTTTGTTCATTTCAAGATTCTTAACCTATTTGACTTTTCATGGCTTCACGCACATTAGGAAAGTAGGGAAAGCCACAAGTAAAAAAAAAGCTTTACCGGAACACTGTGCTATGGAGGGTATAATATTCAGAATCTCAGATAATCTAATTAAAACATCTCTGATAGATAGACAATCAATTGATGAGGAAGGTACTTAACATTTCTAGGTTACATTTGAAAGAAAGTAATCATGGTTGATAGATAGAGAGACTCCCTCCATCCCAAAGATATTGGCCACCTTTCTGCTCTTGCTTGTCTCATTTCTTTTCCTATTGTATTATATACTACAGGTTAATGGCCACTCGTCAATTGTAATGCTTGGTATTTGGAAGAATTCAACAAAAAACACAAAATTTTAGAACAGTGTGTAGACATAAAAAAGGAAATGGTACAGCAATAACCTCATTTTTAATAGGCTCACTCTGAGGCAGATGACAGCTACACATAGTGAGCACATCCAAAGCAGCATCTAGTTCCCAGCTATGCAAAAATCTACAGAAGACACAAATTAAGGTTTAATTAAATATAAGATATAATTAACAGAGGATATTGTCAAACTACAAGATCTCCTAAAGCTGCTGCCACTATCATTTAAACAATAGTCTCATAGGCATAATATCATCAAATTTTTGGATATTTTGTTAAAAACCACCTTTTAAATCCTTATATTTGTTAAAAACCACCTTTTAAAAAAAATGTTGCAAAAGACCACCCACTAATTTAATTACTTGTATATATTACTATACTACTTTCAAACCTAGAAAGCTGAGCAATGGCAGCAACACCAATGTCGGGAAACCTTAATTTGGACAGAAATCCGCCACTATTGCCGCCGTCTCAGGGAACTGACATGACCGATATCAACTATGGCTTAACACTTACCCTCTCGGTCGCAATCTTGTTTTCAATTACTTTGCTTTGTCACCCTTTAATGATCATACTTGCAATAATGAGCAATTGTGAAGGAATGTTGTTCATTAAAGGTGTATATTGTAGAGAGAATAGAGAAGAGGAAAAGAGGTGAAGAACTTTGGGATTTCACATACCAATGAAGGTGAACAACGCAAATATTAATGGAGGTGGAGAGAGAATAGAGAAGAGAAGAGGGATAATGAAGGAATGGGGTCCAAATAAGGGTCACGTGACTAGCACATGATCTGTAAACGCCGGAGTTTTTGGTCAACATTCATTTTCTGGCACTTGGAGGTGAATTACAACAACAAAAATTAAATGGGTGGTCTTTTACAACATTTTTTTTAAAAGGTGGTTTTGGACAAAATTTTCTTTTCGTTTTTTTTTTTTTTTTATAAAGTTTCCTTTCAAAAGTTTCTCTTAATTCACTTGAGCTCATCCATGTTTACTTGTATTGATAAGGTGCAAAACATAGGATTAATAGACAGCTCCTCCCCCACCCCCACCCACACCCCACCCAAGAAAAAAAAAAACAACAAAAAAACAAACAAAAAGGAAAGGAAAAAAAAAAAACAGTTCTTCCATAATAAACCCATCTTTGGTTCTCTCTCAATCTCTCCACACAGACATATGCTCGTTTTTTCTTATCTTTATCCTGGATTATCCCACTTCAGACATTATAGAAAAATTAACCTTGGATAATAATTTGGAAAATGTACACGTATAAGCATATATGTGCAAAGTATACCTTAGGGCTAGCTGAGCTGCTAGTTGTTTGTCTTTCAATCTGAGACAATACTGCCAACTATCACTCAGCATCCTGTTCCCAACATGCCCTTGCGAACTTCCAGAGTTTTGGCTGTTTTCTTCATGTTCAATAAGAAGTCTAAGCAACTCATCTGATGCCCCACCTCGCAAACAACGATCGGAAAAACTGAGTGCATCCATTATATTCTTTTCTTCAATTAATCTGTACATAAACAAAAAAAATATATATATCAATCATTTGAAGACCACTTCGGCAGAGAATGATCACTAAGAACATAAAAGTTACAACATTAAAATAAAAATTAATAAAAAAAAAAAAAAGCAACATCAACAATATCCAATTTTCCTACCGATGCAATTTCTAGAAGATATGACACTAAGACTAAATTAAATCAAAAAGGTGATGCAACAGATTATTTTTTTTGTAAAAATAAAAAAAAAAAAAAGGCCAAAGAAGAGAGGAAATGAACAAAGATCAAAAAAAAAAAAAAAATTAATTCTATGGCTCCTCATAGCTCCAAAGTCTCTAATAATCAAATACAGCAAACTCATTATCATATCTATTCACACCAAACAATCAGGAAGAGGCTATGTAAAATAACTAGCTTAAAGAAACAGCAATTTCACTAGCATGATTCTATCACATACAGTTAATGCCTTAATGGAGCATTACTAGAGGAGAAGACATATGGATAGAAATACATACTACTCCCTCTGTTTCAAATAATCGCAACACTAGGCATCGAAAAAAAATAGGAAGATTTATAGGGTAGGGACTCTAGTGGAATTATTTTATAACAAAAAGTATAGTTAGTAGGAGAGAGAAATCTAAAAAAAATAAAAAAATATTGTAAGTGGGGTTGTAGGAGAGAGAAATAATAAAATATTTGTTCAAGTGGGGTTAGTGAGAGAGATATAATAGAATAATATCGGGTCCTTAGCAAATAATGAATTGTTGCAATTATTTTGAAACGGACATAAAAGAAAAGTGTTGCAATGATTGCGAAACGGAGGGAGTGTTATTTAAAATGCTTTACATGTTCAACGACACTTTCTCAGTACATCAAAATAATTAAAAGATCTTGCATAATGCTGGTTTTCCATCCTCTATATTAGCCTGTTTACTTTGGACAATTTATCCTTGTAAAGATGAAAAGATTAATGATAAAGTTAACAAGACTCACATTTAAAAAAAAAAAAAAAAGGCATGCAGGTTATGCATACATGTAATTGTAAAGCTCTCCGACCTTAACTAAAAGACTACTCCCTCCGGTTTTTTTTAAGTGTCCCGTAGAGACATGTCACGCATGCCGATGCAAAACTTTGAGCAAAAATATCTTTAATTATCATTAACCATACATTATAACAATTGAATATTAATAATCTACTCATTGAGACGATTCCAACAAGTACCTACAAGACTACTACCTCCGTTAAATATTAGTTGCAACTTTGGGGTATTATTTGTGAGATATAAAACATTCCAAAGTTGCAACTAATATTTAACAGAGGTAGTATATTTTTTCTTATGTATAATTCACAAACATTGGTCAAAGTACGTTTAATGAATAGTGCCAAAATCCCAAATGGGGCACTTCAAAAAACGGAGGGAGTAAGAATTATGTTACAGAATTACAGCACAGCTGATGTCTCCGACTTCACGTTTTACAATGTAATAGTTATGTTGTGTAGTTTACACGATAAAACTTGCAAAGATATACTTAGTCCGTTCCCCTAAGTTCTTTTTTGTTCAACTCACTCTCCATTTTAGTCTGGTCTTTTTTGTTCAACTCACTTTCCATTTTAGTCCATTCTTTTTGTTCTACTCAAAGTTCCATTTTTGTTTGCTCTTTTTTTTTCTAATTACTTTCCATTTTAGTCCGATCTTTTTTGTTAAACTCACTTTCCGTTTGAGGCAGTTCTACTCACTTTGCTTTACTCTATTTTTGGCTTACCCCTTTAACCATCTTACCCCTTCAACACCATAATGATAACACCTTTCCGCACACTATCACTTACTTTATTCACCTTTTTCTTACACAAATCCACATTTTTTCACTTTATCCTACTTCATCTTACACCCACCAACTATATTCGATATTTTCTTAAATTGCTGAAATAAAGTAAGTAAAAAGTTTATATAATGAAAGCATGTACCAACACAAATCTACCTGTATATAGAGCAATATTTAGGAATCGGATAATGTATATAATAAACTGAAAAGAACTAATACTCTAATGCCTCTAAACAGTACATATCTGAACTGAACTTATTTTGTCACCTCAATCGGATAGACTGTCCCAAAATAATAGGTCGAGGCATGTCAGTGGCTGGAGGATAAGGTTAACTGATGAGCAAAATGGAGCTAACTAAACTTCGAAGACTGGGTTGTGGGAGAGAAGTGCATGTGTTGTACTGCTAGGCATAATGGTGGACCAAGAAAATATGAGAGTCCTAAAGGAATGGAAGAAAGCTACTCTGCCACCCATACTAAATTACCATTCTCTCAAGTCAACCTAGTCCTCGCAGTTGCATCTAAAGGCATTGAACTGGCCACTGAAACTCGAGGTGGAAAGAGCCAAATCTAAATATAAGACCAGGGGGTAAAATATGAGAACTTCGACAACATTACCACAGGTTGACAAAAACCTAGTCTAATTACAAATTAATAAAATAAAACATAAATTGGTTTTTCATTAAGGATAAACAGTATATACCTTTTAACAGTCCTCTCATATGGCTCTTCATTTTCCCAGTCAAAAGTTAGAAAAGTAGTAGCATCATCTTCAGCAGCTTGATGCATGGAATCCTGCAATGTGTCACGATCAACTGTAGCTTGAGCAATTTCTGGAGCAAATGCTGCAGTGTTACTTCCAATACTTTCATCAATGTCGGACTCAGTGTCAGTGTCAAGCTCTCGAGATCGTTTAACAGAAAATTTTCGGTTACTTTGTATTCCACTAGCATCATCTGCATCCTTGGGTGTTTCAGAAATCACAGATACTCGGTGAAGGTTAGTCTGCAACTGTATCCATCGGTTCAAAGTTGGAAATCTGAAAATTTAAAATATAAATTTATTTATTTTTTTTTACCCAGAAGATATTGTGGCTGTTATTGGAAAATATACAACAATATTGTATACCTTTCTGACTGATCAACAGCGAATTCATAGAACATGTGGTTAGTATCTGGTGAATGCGGCAATTCTTCGTTCAAGGGACTATGAAAGGATGACTCATTACTACTGTATAACATACTGCTTCCAAAGACACAAGCAAGTACAGCTCTAACTGGTGAAATTTTGACCAAATGCTTTATTATGTCCAACTGTAGATGATATTGAGCAATTCCAGCCGAAGCCAAGGAACTGCTGACGTCACTTGCGCAAGTCCCTCTACCAGAAGATGTCGTTAAATGACTAGCATGGCTAAACTTAGCACTGGATGCAGCCAATGGAAGACAAGCCCAACCGTGGCCACAACGTGAAGGATAGACAGAAGGTACACAAGCTGAGATCACTTCATGAACAAAATCAGCAGACATGATTTCTGCAACCTTTTCAGCTGCTTCAGTGCTACCTCTTTCAAAAACTAGGCGCGTTACAAGCTGTATAAAAGGCATAAAAGGCATTAACATAGCTTCAAGTTGCAGTCCAGGGACACAATCTCATATTCTATTTAATCATGCCTACATATGCAAAAAAGAAAAACACACAGAAACAGACAAATGGATGATTTAAAAGGTAGAAATTTTGACCACTGTAAAAGACATTTATATTTCTGATAGTGACTGCTTTACGAAGTCTATATTACATGGGAAGTACCATTTTTCAAAGACTTTTGGTGTGAATAAACTACTTAATGCTCATTTCCCAGAGCAGACAGGTTAAAAAACCCACAGAACTGCAGAAGTTGTGGTTAACTACAGAGCCAAGCAGAAGCATTCACTATTTTTCTAATAATGAAATATTGTGCAAGGATTCAGACCTTCAAATAAGCTTTTAAGGACCAACTATAATCCAAAATCCAATTAAAGAGAAGAAGATATCAGTTATGTATTAAAAAGGTGCAAAAAGTCACCATTACACTCGTTGGCCCATATTTTAAAAAAATTAAATAATAATAATAGATCATTGAAGCAAGGCCAGCTACTTTGGGAAGTAGTTTTCAGTTACTTGGTCCATGCATTACACATCTAGATCTCAATTTGGGACCAAAAGTTATGGACTATAGAAAAATACTATTTTTAACATGCAAAAAACAAAATTCATCTCCTTAGCCATAATGACATAAAATGCAGGATTTCTTTGCTCCAATTCTACTAAAATACCTCTTTGACCACCCCAAATGGGTATGCATACTCAAACACTTATATGTTCGAAATATCGAATATTTATCTACTACTTATAGTACATGAAAAAGAAATGGAAAGATCATTGTCCACAATTCTCAATCACAAATCTGGACCCATACTCAAGGTTAACAATCACATTCAAGTCCAATCCTCACCAATTTTATTTGGTTCGTTTATCTGCTTTCAGGTTTTCACTGGCTACAGATTTTTTAAGGAGCGCTCGTATTATTATCCCTAAGGCAACAAGTCACATGCAAAGATCATTTTTGAGCCAAGAATTAATAGACTTACATCCTTAGGCCATTCATATACGAGCGAGAAGTAGTTAAAGTCATGAGTTGTATCAGTGCCATCAACAATATCACCAATTGCAGCAATATGAAGAACAAATTGTGAGAGATATGTTGATGGTTTTGCACTCAAGGGGCTAAAAAGCCGCTTTTCAGCATCTTTCATGTCATAAGCTGAAGGTTGAGCTGAACTTGAGGATGGCTGTTTAGTACTTCTGAGCCCAAGTCCCAGAAAATTATTCCTGTCAATATCCAAGAGATATTTTTGCTCCCTGCCTTCAACTTTGACAAGATCAATCCCTATTTCTTCATCAGCTACTGCTCTTGCAAGATTATGAAGTTTGCCTGAAACAATAGACAATAAATATAGAAAAGTCACTAGTCAAAATATACAACCATGAAAAAAAGGGTTGTCTCTAACAAATCTCAACTCTTAATACCTGGCCAATTATTTTTCCTTTTTTTAAAATTATTCTCGGAGAGGGGGGGAAGAACGCTGGCTCAGTTCAATCCCAAAACACATATTTCAAGTCCAATACTCAAGGAAATAGCAGCCAAATCACATGCATTTGTGTCCACAGGACAAAATTGAATATAATCGGGATAATTGATTGGCCATGGTACAGAAATTTGGGCCAGCTTTCTAGATTATACATCATCAAACTTGAAGAAATGAGAAGTGCAGCATATAGCCCGGCCAATACACAAGGGGACATGACATTTTATTGACTAGTCTAGACTCAAACTAACAAAAGATAAGAAAAATCCCATAGAAACAAAAATCACTGATCATAAACTAACTCGTGGCCTTCAGTGCTTCTCTATTAACAAAGGATAATTCAAAAAATTAAACAGGAAAACCTTCTTCGGATTTAAGCAATGTTTTTGGAATTTAGTTGATTCTTCTAGCCTTTTAACAATTTTATATTCAGAAACTTCCACTCTCAATCTTTGATGCCCTGTGTTTTGGCTGATTCCATGTACTCCGAACGATTACATTCTTATTTTCAATTTAGATCCCTGTAGTTCACTCCATTAAAAGGTCCAAGTCAGTGATCCTTCTTTCCTATTATTATAATTTTACGAGTTGGTCTTCTCCAAATCAAAGCAAAATCTAACCCTTATTTTTAATTTTGGTGCATTTGACAAAAAGGTGAAAGTTTTAACCCCTTATACTACGGGAGGGGATTTACTTTCTAATTGTGGCTTTTGGGGATATACTCCTGTGGGACCCAAGTCTAAAATAATAATAGAGAAGCAATTTCATCAATTGAAAGTAGAGGTGATCAAAGGGCGGGGCGGGTTCGGGCCAGGCTGATGGTAAAAGTAGGCCCACTTGGTCAGGCCAAGGATAAGACCGAAAATGCTTGCCCAAAACCCCGCAATACTGGAGCGGTGGTGGGCTTTTTGGGTATTTTAGGCCGGGCCAACACATAACTTAAATGATTGTAAATGCATGTCCAAGGCCTGCGGAAAAATAAAAAAAATCAGGCCTGACCCGATTTCGGGCTGAAAATTTCTGCCCAAAGCCTGCTCAAAATCGGGTCCCTTCCATGATCAGGTCTACTTAAAAGTAAACCAATTAAACATTCAAGTAAAACGTATCTACTATAAAATTATAAAATAATAGATATCTCTGCAACTCTTTATATTTAGGGTTTTTTTAGATTCTGATGAACAAAGTACATTAATTGTCATGAAATCCCTACATTAACTATAAACATTTAAATCTACGTGATGTAAGACTGCTCTAAAGAAGAGAAGCAACCAATAAAAGTAAATTAAATTATTTAAAAGAAAATGAAAATGATCAACACTTTTCACGCATGTTGAGCTTGAGGCCATATTTATACATATAATGTACATGTACATATATATACCTTAAATATATGAACAAAAATATACTCCCTTTGTTGTCCTTAGTTCAAATCACTATTTTCATCCATTTTTCTGTGTTCCACTCACTTAATGTATTCCCTTTATGGCACGTTTATTCATTTTTATCAACTACAATCCCACTATGTGGGGTCCAATTATATCAAATAATACCATTGCTCTCTATCTCTCACCTTTTTATAGAAAAAGCGGTCACACACATGGTCCTCATTCCCCCTTTTTCATACTCTGTGTAACTACAAGTAAATGATTAGAACACCAGAAAACGCACTCCATCTTTCTTCCCAACGAGTCCAGATATATAATCCCTCCATTAATTATATTTCTACTCAATTGCAATTTCTGCGGTCTCCCACACATGTTTGATTGATTATACTTTTAAATATGTACTAGTGTAAATTATTAAAAGTTGATAATTGGATCCCACAGATTGCAACAATTCTGACAAGATTTCACACAATAATAATTTATTTGTACATAAGTAGCAATAGACGGTCAAAGTTTATTTTTAGTTTGACCTAATGAATAGTAAGTGAGTAGAACAAAAAGATTCTATCTTTACGCACTATTACTTTGACTTAAATTTTTTAGTATACACTTAATGGCCCTGTATAATATTTTTTAGATTATTCTCGATGCACATTTTCATGACATCAATTTTATAAATTTTTACAACACAGTCAAAGATATTAATGGTCAACCATATGCCTCGGACATGCATAAAGACATTACTTTTACTTTCGTATCATTCACATCATATAAAACCATAGTTATTTTTAACCGTTGAATTGTATTTATTTATCTTTAAAAATGATACTTTTACTATATATTTACTTCAAGATTACTAAGAATTTGTTTTTACAACTCTCGCCCACGCATTGCGTGCACCCCTAAGCTTGTAGAATTAGTAAAAACAGAAGTGCCAAAGTAAATTATGCATTTATGCTAATACTACGAGCGCCAAAGTAGAAACTTTCCTTATGGTGAGTATCAAATCATTAGAAAGTAATAAAGGAAGAAAGACACATAAACGAACGCAGGGCTAAGGATAAACAAGATCAGGTACAAAAAAAACATGCTCTTAAGCTATCATCTAGTAGACGATCTAAAAATTTAAGTTTTTTTTATAGAACTGCAGAGAACATAGTACAAAGAGCAAACAAGGAGACTTCACACAACAATTGGAATAATCCCAACTACAAATTAACCCAACTTCTTAAAATTTCCATTATAAAATAATTTGAGAAAGCGCCGACCCCCTTAGCCCACAGAGAAACTAATAATGTGACTTAATCACATGAATTTCGCTGTAGCCATATGGTCCGAAAAAAAAAACAGCGATAATTACATTTTACCAAAGCAAACTCTTCTCCCTCACCCTACCAAAGCCCGAAAAAGCTAAATTATTCATCATCCAAACTAATAAGAAACTTGTTAAGAATGTCAATGTTGCTAATGACTATTGTATAATACTAATCGTATCAGACCATCTATATTGCCTTTCCTTAGGTCGGTTCATTACAAGGAGAAACCAAAAGAAAAAAGAGTAAAAGATGATAGCAATGGCTTGCACTGCACCACAATATTCTGATAACTTAGTAAAAAGTTACTGACAGTACCCTGAGGAAGCATCCCCGATTTCAAAGAGGACAAAGGACAAAAAATATTTAGCACTCAAGACTATAGACGAGAGGAATTTCCTAACTATAACAGGATGCCAACAGTGTATCATCATCTAAAAAGATAAGAAACTAAGACAAGAGTATAGTGCAGTATTCAAAACCATTAAAGTGTATCAATAATTTTTTTATAATTTGATTTAATTATAATATCTTACCGCTCAGAAACTGTCGTTTACCCATATGAGCATCTTCAATCATCTGATGTAGCAATGCAAGAGCACGATCTCTATGGCCTTGTTGATGAGAAAAAGTAATGTTCATCTCCCCTGACAAAATAGACTGAAGGGTGGCAGAATTTTCCTGGAAGTGTAAAAAAAAGTATGATTATAAAGCAGTTCACAGCCTAACTTGCAGATATTGCAGAAGGTTTGATGGGGAATAACTTTGGAGGAAAAAAAAACAAAGATACGCTAGAGCAATAAATTGCAGGTTTCAGTTCATTAGTAAAGATGCAAAAAGGAAAATCTACAATTAAGCAGATATAGAAACAGCATTTTATTGATGGAATTTCTTGCAGCAACCCCTATCAATATCAATTGAAAGACTACTGGAAGGGGGAGGGGGGGGGGGGGGGAGTTTCTAATGTTGTAAGCCCAATACATTTATGGCCACGAATCAACAATGAGAGAATAGATATTCAATCTTTAAAAACACACACCTCCTCTAAAAATTCACGTAGTCGTTTGAGAAGATGTCTTGCTACTGAAACCAATGCAATTTCTTGGATCTGATCCCATCCAATCTTTAAAGACCCTCCTGGGTATATTTCCGACAACATGGTTTGAGCCTACATAAATGTAAAAAAAGTTACAGAGCAGTTTAAAATTAAAGGATATCTCACTCAATTTTACTTGGAACAAAAAAAAAAAGTAAAATATTGATAAATCTATGTAAAACGACTAACTTTTGATACCTTATACTTCCTCCGTTTTCTTTTAAATGCAACATTTTGGCTTTTACACTATTCATATACCCCTCTTTGACTAGCTTTGATGTTTTATAGTAAGGAAAAATAGTCATATGGGATCTTGTTAGAATTGATCGCATTCAAACTTTGACTAGTTTTACTTATAAAAATTTAATATTATGAAGATATACATTGTGAGTTTATGATTGATCTATTAAAATTTTACACAATCACATTTGGTTTTTATATATTAGTAAAATTCAAGTGAAAGTATGTGAATAGTGCAAAAGTCAAAGTGGTGCACTTATTCATATACAAAGGGAGTAGCAATCAAACCTAATAATTAAATGATCAAGATGCCCTACTCAGCATAAGAATTCTCTAATTTGATCCTTATAACCTATATTAAACTAAAAACCTGATCCAGAAGTCGCTCAGACATGTCTTTAGACTTAGCAGAAGCAGCAGCAACATCTATACAGAGAAGAATCTGCAAACAGAACATTTATTCAGTTAAAATTAACTTAAGAATATGTAAATGAAAATTTACAACTTAAAAATTAAGAAAAGACCATTTTTTATACTCACAGCTGCAATAGGACCAATTTGAGATTGTAACGAGGAAAAATCAATTTCTTGCAGTGTCACTGTTTCATCTGTAGCACGAGAAACAACATCCTCGACCTACCATTCAATGTTTCCACAAACAGAAGAAAAAAAAAATAAAGACACTGAATTCAAAGAGAAACAGATAGGAAAGAGGATTATCCAGGGGATACCAATGCAAACATAGAAAGTACTGGCTCCATAAAAGAGAAATATTTATGCCTAAATAAAAGCCACAACAATATATCACTTTTTTAATGGCACCGAAACAACAAGAAACCACACAACTGATCAACTAAAATTAACAAATTCAGACAAAAATTGTAGAGGCATATCATCTGCTACAGAGATTTTTTTGAATCCCAAATAAAGCATAAAATCTGCATTTTTTTTGTCTGAAAATCAAGTCCAACTTTTGATTTTTCGACAAAGACCAGTGTGTGCATAATTCCTAACTACAACCATGAAATTCAATAGCAATAACAGAGCCAATTCTCCATAGATTTTTTTGCCTCTCATCTCACTCCATATGAGGTTAGAAATTCCCTTTAAGATTATGCAAAAATATTAAGGACTCACCACAGGTTTTCATAACTGACTCATAAAGTTCATTGGTAATTAAAAGACAAGAAACATTGCATTGGTGTAGTAAAATGATCTTATTCCTTTTATGGTGATATCTTACCCTATCTTGCCCCACTAATTGGGTTTCATTCTTGACATTTGGTCCTACAGTAGATGGATAGAAGTAGAAGTCGCAGAAAACTATGAAACAGAGGAGGTACCGCTTCACAATTCAAACAAAATCTTTACCATCTTCTCTACAGAATAACAGTGTCAATTCATCAGATATCTACATATGTACAATTTTGCATGGTGCTAGAAGTAGTAATCAAAAAACTTCAAGAATAAACACATATTATCACAGAACAGTATCAGCAGGAATCCATCTTTTTTGATATAGGAAAAAGGTGTGATGAAGAAAAAAAATGAAGTAACAGCTCACATAATACAGGAAATCTGAAATGAGATAACCCTACAAGCTCTTTACTTCAGGAACATGCATTTTCTATAAATAACAGGTTAGACAAGTCTACCTCAACAAAGAGAAGAAGCAACACACAGTCATGTCGACCATACATGTAAAACCAATAGTGGCAAAGCCAAATGATGGCATTGAAAATAAAAGAGCTATTATCTTTAAGATTCTTACAGACGCTCTTTTGAAAGTGTCGTCCACCCATTCAGCCAGTGCAAGTGTAGCTCTATCTTCATATGACAAAGAAAACCTATGCACCGCCTCCTCCCCTATGTCATACTTTGCCTTTTGCATGCACCTGTAAGAAAAGGAAAACTTTCAAAAAAAAAAAATGAAGAAGAAAGCAACAGATACTCAGAAACCAAGAATGGTATTAAACAGGATCGGCAAAAGGGAGAGGGGAGCACATCTAGAAAAATGGCAAATATCAGGCTTTATAAAGCCATTCAAGTAATGAACAAAGTCTACAAATACAATTGCAAAGAGCACCTAAAATAGATCACACATTTCAAAAATATCGGGTGGAACAACTGCTTAAAGACCCAATATCAATTGAAGAATTCAGGAAGCTTACAGGTTGAGCAACTTTGATGGTGCTGCACGTAGTATAGTCAATGCCTCCTTCCATCTCCACTTCAGCTCAGGTAGAGGCAAAAGTTGCTGCAAAACTGACAAGCGCCATTGCCAATCTTCAATGAAATTTCTAGCATTCAATATTCTCCACTCCAAGGCTTCTCTTTCACCACTAGAGTTGGTAACCTCCAACGTCAGCTCTGTTGGTAAATTGTGACGCAAAGTATCAAGTAGAAATTCAACAATAGAAACAGCCATGTGGTTTCCCATTTTGTCAAAATTGACATCATCATACTGCTGCTGGCCAGCACGAGATAGCTCGTAGTTGCTCCCTGCTAAGCCACAATGTTCAAAATCAACTGAGATGCTGTCAACATGTAGGAGTGAAATAATAATGTTCACCATGAATATCTGCATCATTGGAATTAGTTGCAGAGGACCGTTAAAAAAAATTAATAATTGATAAATAATAGATGTAAAAAGGATCACAACAACGCATCATGAAGTTAGGATACCAGGAACAAAGTACCTTGCGTGCCACACTATTGACAGCCTCAAGATGATGCCTAAGTTCTTTCAAAAATCTTAATGACAACTGAGGATAGCAAATTTGATCATCAGAAACACTCTTTTCCATAGCTCCCAATGCCATGACGGCATAGTCAAGCGCATAGCGCATGTGAATCAGTTCGCCATCCTGCATCCTACCAACAAAAGTAAGCCGCATTTTCAATTTTTGTGACACGAAGATCAATAAATCTACACGTCACCCAAAGCAAAAGAATTAAGCTTATTTTTAACCGCATATTCTACCCACAATACAAGTTGAACAGATAAGAATACTGAAAGGAAAAGGGAATTAGAAAAGGCCACCTGCAGCTTTTTCACTTCATTTAAATAAGAGTTATACCCATAAGGAACGCTTCTGTTTTTCAGTATAATCTTTATTATCAAGTACTAGGTTTATGTATTAAAGAACGCATAATCATATAGGCAAACAGACCAATAAATAGGAAGGGGAGTGGGGGGGAATTATCCACCAACCATTTCCCTCAGTAATTTTATATGATTATGTCAACAGCCTTTTTTAAGCTGTTGGTTGTGAAGGAGGGAAGGGGACAGTGTTTATCAAACTATGTTAGTTTTTAATAATAATTTTTGAAAACCAAAATGACAGCAACAGAGTATGTAATAAGGGCAAAGCTTCACCCCAAAAATTAAACACTTTGTGTCCGGTTCGTGTTGTGTTGTCAAGTCAGCTTTTGCCATTTCTACTTAAAATGTGTTGGTTTCTTTTGTTTACAGATCCACTAGATTGCCAACCTAGAACATTGCATAGTCCATACTAAAAAAAAAAAATAGTCCAACCATTAATCACCCCACTTCTCCAGGACACCAGAGCTACTTTGCTAGAGCAAAGTTAAACCCAATTCCTCCCACATAGAGCTAAAACCTCATGACAATAAGAAAGGTGTCATTCTCTTCACCTTAAACTGTACAGGCCAGGAAAAATAAGTTCCAACAAGTAATATATGGGCTTACCCAGGTTCAGTTCACAGCTAAAAGAAGTTCAAATAAGTTCCGGTTTGTTCAAATAGGTTCAGTTGTTCATACAAAAAAACTTCATGTAAACAAATTGAAAGCAAAAAAATTATAAATAATAATAATAATTGATCAAGAGACCATCCTAATCTAAACAGCCGAAAAGAGTAAACTTCCTTCTCTTAAGTACATTCAATGTCCAAATAGATCCAAGAGACACTTTCTCCTCTCTAAAAACATAAACAACTATTGAGAGTAAAATTCCTTTATTACGTACACTCGCTGTCAAAATAGATCCTTAATGGCTGCACATGCAACACAGCATGCTTTACGAGGAGCCTTCACCTTCCAATTATGATTTGCAAGGAAATTGACACAAGCATTCCTTCAAAAACTTATTAAGCGTTGTTATGGACTAAAGAGAGTTTCAAAAGCTACTTGGTTGGGGAGGTTCAAAGAAATGGAGTTACTCTAACATTTTTATTTATTATATAAGTTTAAAGCAGAACTTAACCTCTTCGCCTTCCGTGAAGTTAATGTAATCCTTTTTAGATTAGTAAAGGGAAAATAAAAAAGGAAAATTTCTTCAAACTCAAAATAAAAATCTTAACAGAAAAGGTATCTCCAGCCATAAGACAGATTCTTCTACAGAAAAATTTACTAAAACTCTTAGCCAAATCATTTTCTTACTATCATTATGAAGTCTAATAAAAAGTAAGACGGTAAGACCCAATGTTTTAGTAACAATTCCTTTGTTCCACGCAATCACCTCACCTACAGTCTATAGAGTATAGACAACAGCAGCCTCCCAGAGCAAGGATTTTCTAGATAGGCCTGAGAACTGAACCTTTCAGATTTTATGCCTGCACAAAATAGCATGCAAAAATATTGCTCTTAACTAAGTCAAATAAGGACTTAATAACGAACTCTGCAAAGCTAGACTCTTGTCCGCCAACTCCATAAGAGTTAGGAATCTGGATCCAAAACCAACCTCACCTAACTATATTTAAGGTTGACGGCATTCTTAAAATATGCCTCTTTTTTTACTAGCCTCCAAACAACTTAACAAAAAGGTTATGCCTGGTACAAAGGAGACTGAAATAAAAAACCGCTGAATCCAACTAAACAATCATCAACTTTCTGGTTATGACTGATTTTGATCTGTAGTATGTACTAAAGTCTTTATATAGAATCCGAAACCCATAAAGTTAGATCAATGAGCAAGTTGAAATTAAGAGGCAAAAAAAAAAGTGGAACATAAATTGTTTGAGACAATATAGATAAGATACTAACAAGCAGACAGGGAGGCTACTAAATGAGGAGCTTGAGGCCTTGAACATGAGGTTTTATTTGTAGAAGAACACAGATTTATTAACATTACCGCCATTAATACCATGTATCAAATGGCCATTGGTGTTCTACTAATATGATTGTGTTTTATTATCGAGATAAGGAGAACTACAAGTCACTACAACTGTAAGTCAAGGTGTCCTTAGTTACAAGAGTGGGCATACCGACCACACAGAAAAGAACCAAACAATGCAGGCCATTCAGAAGCAAATAACCCCATAGATCCAAGAACACCACAACTCCAGTAGCCTCACTACGAGATATATAGTCATTACTCTACAGCCAACGCGCCGAATTCAGCAAAATTAACACGCATGTCCAAAGGACGCTGTTATTTGATCCTCTTAAACAAAAATCATCTCATTTTCTTTTGGGGACCAGGGCATTGAACTTGTACTTTAAAATGTTAAATACAGCCACAAAGAAAAGTGCCACACCTTTTCCATTCTGCTGCAGTAGAGTCTGTTGGCTGCATGCTAATCAATTTAATAGCATCCTCAAATGTAATGGTTGGAACAACATCAAATAAAACCTGCAGAAAAATGGTCAAGTTAAAAACAAGTCATGGTAAGCAAGGCATTTTAAAGGAGAGAGGGGGGGGGGGATCACGATAAATATTAATGAATTATAGTGGTAGATAATAATGGAGTACTTCACATGATGTTGATCAATTTATGTATATTCTACAACAATCACAAAACATTAGTCCAAACAGGATATGTATATGAATTTGCAATTATCCATGCAATAATACAAAATCAACCAGATGGAGCTAATAAAACCTAATGTCAAAATGAGATTCAATTTGAAAGCCATATTCCCAAGAGCAACTCATAGACAGGAAAGAGAGCCACAACAACAACAACAACAACAACAACAACCCTCCACAAAGAACTTATTTCTAACCAGTAACCCCATATCCACTAAACGTCACTGCTTATATAGTCATCTTATAGAGCCAGATAAGAATTTGTTTTATTTATATGGCATTTGGAGATTTTAATTTGTTAGATTTATTCCCATCTTACGAGTTGCTTTTAGAGATAAATTTTGAATGGCTAGGAAAATACTTTTCTTCGTAAAATTGGTTTCTCTTAAATTATATCCTAAAGATATTGTTCTTTTTAATCCTAGAGAGACTAGGTACGGATGTTGGGACTTGGGAGCATTGCTCAAATTTAGTGTAGGAGATCGAGATCAAAATCTCAAGATGTAAAAACCTATGAATGTGGGGGTAAACTCTAAGGAGGCTTACCAATGTTGAGGTGGCTTAAAAGTGGAATATGAAAGTTGGGATGACTCAACGATGAGAGACCAAATGTACGAATGTTTGCCTTATTGATAAGAATTGATGAATAATATTCCCTGTCCCTAACAGTTTTTTATATTCCTTTTCAACATGTCCACGTAAAATCTTTATGTTACTTTAAACAGAAAATTTTACTCAACCCATATGATGTGGAACCATCAACTTATTCTCTGTCTCTCACACTCTTTTCATATTCTATGTCATGTAGGTCCTCTTACTCACTCTCTTTCAGAAGGAAATTGGAAGCTCATTTATTCCCAAACCTCCCCTCCTTCTCTTTTCCGTTTTTCCCCTCCTCTTCCTTTCCTTCCATGATTGCAAACCAAACACATTATAAAACTATTCTGTCACCATTGTTAATATTTTTTTCCAGATGAATTCTGTACCGTTCACTGTTTGGAGACCTATATGGGGTCGGTTTCCGAACACTTCTCAACTACTCTGTAATTTTTCATTTGCTTCATTCTTGTCAATAAAATTTCTAATCTTATACTCAAATAAAATTTGGGCTTTTGAAATTCAACAAAAGCAAATAACATATAAAGCCAGAGCATAATAAAAGGATTCCCAACATTAAACAGCATATAAACATAAAATCTTACCCGTAAAGGACTCTGGGAAGATAGCCTTTCCAAAACCAAGTTCTCCACAAAAGGATCCAAATGAGCATTCCCTTCTTGGAAATCTACTTGGCCATTACCAGACAAAAATAAGGAGGATCTAATATCCCATGGTTGACCCGAATTGACACAAGCAACAAAAGAAGCAAAGTCAAGCCGATAACACAAGGAATCACAAAGAAACTCAATGCACGATTTCTGTAAGAAATGGGAGAATACTTCAGAAAAAAATTGACACGAGTTATAAACACAAGCCTGAGGATGCAGAAATTTGTTGAATGAGTAAATCTGCAGGTAGAAAGTAGTACCTCATCTGAACCATTTTCATAAAGAGAGGAATCATCAAGCTGACAAATTTTTGGCTGGCCTGTCCAAAGTAGCTGCATTAATTTTCTTCGAGCAGCAGTTCTGCTGGACAATAAATCCCACCCCAGGACACTAACTAGGGGTTGAAGCCGTGGAAACAATGACACGACCTGTAAGCATGCAGGCAGCTTAGTCTGGATTAAACATATAATAAAGACAAATATAGCAAAGCATAATAAGCTTTCAGCAAGAACATATGTGAGACAGAAAAGGCTTACATAGCTTGCTTCTTCCAGCTGCTCATTCTTGACAGCAGAAAGAGCCGTTTCCATAACACACTCCAAAACATGCAATCCAGCAACACGGGAATAATGGTATAAATCTCGCATACAAACTGTAATATCCAAGTCAGAAGATAAAGATGTGTCATTGTTGACGTTCTCAAGTTTCTTCTTTTGCATGCGATTGTGAAGTTGCATTAACGGGGGCAGAATCTGATTGTCAGAAGCCCTCAACATATTTATCTCTTCTAGCAAAAGATGGTCTTGAACAGCCTGGATGAATAATAATAATAATACTGCTTAGAGTTCTAGAAGCATTATACAAACAAGTCCTGACAACATAAACCTACTTTTCAGAAGATAAGCGTCTAAGAAGTCATTGAAGTGTTGCTGTCGAGACTGAAAAGCTCGTGAAATCAAAGGCTACAAGAAACTTCCAGTAAAATACACCACAATTTGGGTGAAAAGGGAAAATAAAATAGGAAGAAGTTCATAACAAAGAAAAACATAATTCAAATTTTGACAAGTGGCAACCTCATAAACAGGATGGAGAGGACAGTCCACACTGTGATAAACAGCAATTTGACATCACAGAGTATACAGGTGTATAATTGAAATAGGTAGATTTTAAAGATATGCAAGAGCAAACACCCAAAATTATACTTCCACCTCTTTTACATTATCAACAGATACTATTGTCTACATTGACAATATGTGGTGATTTATACTCAACAAAAAACACAATAATGTGATCTTATTAGATGTATCTCAACATATACTTTCATAATATCTAATTTTTATATTATTATATTTATTAATATTTAAAGATAATAATGGTTGAAGTTAGGCATTGACAAGTCTAAAAATAAGTTGCAATTAAAGCGAACAGAGTTAGTACTATAGCTCAGTAAACAGGGAAAGAAATATCTAAACCAGCGTGGCAGTAGATGCTAGATACAACATCCATATGGTGAAGGAGGGGTACTTGTTAAAATCTTTAGGCATCTTTAGATATTGTATCATTTATTTTGGAAGCAATAGGTAGCATATTGAGTTGTATGACTTTATTATCTTATACTTTGTTCAAAGCTATTTTAGGTACAAGTCAAATTCCTGAACCCGCCACTGTTGCGATCCTAACATTACTAAAACTTACTTCATTTTATCACTCATACAATTTGAATTGTCAATCATCCCCTGTAATTTCAAATAAAACCTGGAGTCTACCATTTACCAGCTATTCCAACATTCCTCACAGTATCACTAAACAAATAGAAAGATCAAAAGTTCTACATTTATAACATCTGCAACACCATCAGTCACCACTTCACCTGTAAAACTACTAAACACGAGTCAACTTCAGGCAAAAAGACAAATCAATCCATATACTAACCTTCAATTATTCCATCATGGTAATGATATAGTGATATAATTTCAAAGTAAACAAGGGGAAAAAGAAGCAAGGTAAAGCCGACATGCAAATATTCAATGGAGATAAGGCCCTACAGCTGCAACTCTGCAATCCTCCTCCTAGGAAGCCTCCTAGAAGAGTGAGACTATTTGTGTTACAATCAAAATCACAGTAACAAGGGCATTCATATACGTTTGTTTTTCAGAAAAATTAAGCTATACCAAAGACACATGAGTCAGCAAGCACCATTCACAGAAATCATCAACAGTTACAGGGAGTTAAAAATCTTAAGTTTCTCATGCCATCTTCAAAAAAGAAGTATTCTACAGTGAAGGATGATTAAGGGAGCTACAAGGAACAAATAATCACCTAGACAAAGAAAGAAAAGCATTCAATTGGACCTTTCTCTTTCCATAATCGGAAGACAAAAATTTTAACCTGGAGCATTTGAACAAGATGAGTGCAGTTGGTTGACAGAGCTTCTCGATATATGTACAGCAACTTATCCCGTGATGTGCGGGAAACATCTCCTGGACCCTCTATTCCTGATAAAACCTTTTGGAGCAAATCTTGAAATACCAACCTAACAGAGACATTAAAATAAAAAATGGTTTCTTTTAACAGCTATGAAAAAAGGTTAATATGCTAATAAGAGGAATTTTCTAATCTTTAAACTTCTAACAATGAATTGAAATGCCAAAGAAGAGGAAAATGTGACATGACTAGTCAATATTACGACTTACAGTCTTACAAGTCATCAACTTAAAATATGCAAACAAGCCTCGCTTGTAATATCAAGAAGCAGAACATATATGACTACGATTAAGAAAACAAAACAATATGGACCCTGCTACTACGGCAGATCAAATAAACACAGGTGTATAGCCATCAAGCGAGCCGAGACCGAGCTTATAGACTTCCACTCAAACTCAAGCCAAGTCACAAGCTTTATCGAGTTTTAACTTTCACGTTTAAATTACCATAAAAGTCAAATTGATTTGGAAATTAGAACTTATTCTACGCTACAACTATGTTTGTCTTTTAATTTTGTTTAAGCTTCTCACCAGTATTGTCTAATATATTACTCTTGTCTCTTAATTTAAGTTAGATGTTACATTATATAGGATAGAAAAAAATAACCGAGTCTGTTCATGAGCTTCTTCTAGAGCCGAGCTTTGTTGTGTCCAGGTGTCCAGCTCATGAATATATCAAACCGAACTCGAAAAAATTCATGAACAAGCTGGGCTAATTAACAATTCTAACCCAACCGGTTAAGAGATTTAAAACTAGCAGCAAGACAGATCCCATAAAACTCTAACCACATATAAAAACATTGAAGAAAACAAAACATAATGCATCTTGAAGATTTGCTCATAAGGGAAAATTAGATATCTTAGACCAATTTCCAAAAGTATGGAGAGAATGATGAAGAGGCCAATTCTTGAATCAAAGCAAAAGGGATACTGTGGAGAAATGCTACATGAGAACTTCACCAGCAAAAGTTCCATCCAATGTAAGAATAATAGGATTGCCATAAGACCAACTGTATATGCATATAAAGGTTCAAAATATTGGCCAAACAAACAACATTGAAGAGAATGAGGGAACAAGAAGATAATTCAGTGCCCATATAAAATTATTATGCAGGAAACTTTTTTTTTTTTTTTTGACAGGAATATGCAGGAGACTTGACTGCAATGATTTGATACAATAAATAAAAAATTTAGAAAATAAATAATAATAATAATAATAATTTTAAATTAAAAAAAAAAGAATGCCAAGTGATCAACTTAGATTTATCAACCAAACAAAACTTATTCAATAGATATAAAACATAGGCCAAAATATAAAACAAAAAAAGGGAAATTTAGCAAAAATTCCCAAAGAAAACTTGATGCAAAATAGAGATGACTCATACAAAGTATGCATCATGTAGCCTGACAACAACCAATTAACATAGAACGATAGAAGCATTTTGACAAACATCGTTTCATACCCTTCAATAGTTTCCGTAACTGTCATCACTCCCCCACCCCAAGATCACACCCTTTCCCCCATCCTCAACCTAATATGACAAGGTTGAAGCAATAAACAGCAGAAACTAAAAAAAAAAACTATTGCAAGGAAAAGAGAAGGTAAATATTAATACATATCAATAATTGAATTGTCCATCAGAGATTGCAAGTATCCTAAGACAAATTGACTTATAACTCATGCATTGGGGAAGGTGAGGTAATATCACCTTATCAATACAAGTGAACCTCCATCTTCTTTTTATTACTTCGTAGTTCTTACTTCTTAGTACCAACAGAAGAATGTGTATCGATTATAAAAGAACACCGCGAGAATTCTACAGAATTTCTAGAAGTAAATGTTTTAGATGAGCCGGTTTAAGAAAAGTTTTAAAATGGAGTAAACATTAAATTAGGCATGAGATAAATTTGGAGGGAGAACTATATAGGCAAAAAATACTATGTATCTTATAATCACTAGTCAGGCCAAAAAATAATAATTCCTCCACATAATATAGTTTCAACCCTTACTTCCGAGATAACCTACAGTTTATGGCAAGTTTCATGTCGGCCATTGCACCCATGAAGGCCAAAAGTCCAAGTTTGAAATATTTTTCCATCTTTTTCCCCATATACATTACAGGAATACTAAAACACAAACTATTCATGTTATTTATATAACTCAATTGCTCTCCAACTTTTCTCTTGATTTCTAAACTCTTTATTATCTTTTTGCCTCGTTTATTGACATCACTTACCATTGCAGCTTTGCTCTCCAATGTGCTCTCCACCTACTTCCCAAACCACTAATTCATAAGTGAACCTTATTAACTTACACATTCCTCACCACATAATCTAACCAAACCAAAGGAGAAAGTTACATTGCAATCACAAAAGTATATTTTGATGGAAAAATATCTCAAACTCCTAGCAAATATTCAAGATTAAAGTTTGTAGAGGGGGTCAAAGTAACTTGAGATTTATTCACGTAAACTCTCCTACAAACTTCCATCAAATCAACTAAAGAAATGTAATACCTATCAAAACCCTAAGTATAGGACAAAGTGGCTATATAATCCTCTTCAGAGAAAACGGACAAAGTCACATCAGAAATACTTCCATTATAAATAGTTTAATCTGCTGAAGCGTTGTCTTCGACAATTGAGCAGGTTATCTGACAAAGCATCAATAATTGGGCTTTTCACTTCACAATAATTGCCATCACACCAAAAATCTAATATTTGAATAGCTTGATGATTAACATCCAATCCCCCTCCCGTGAACTACTTTCATCTACCCTAGTTCGACTCAATAACGAATACATTACAATTATACAAAGTTCACATAATACATACTAGGCAATATGCTAGTATATTATCATTGTGCAGCAATGAGATTAGAAGATAAAGCATCAATATAACAATAACCTGCATTTTCACTCTATATATAACTTAAAATGCAAGTATTAAAAGGATTAAGCACCATTACACATACCGATATTCTTCCTCGGAGACTCCATAACCTAAGCGCAAACATCGAATATGCGAAATAGCTTCATCTACATTTTCCTTATTTACACATTGTCTCACTTCATCCAAAAGCGCGATTTGTACATACTTCTGGATTGATTTCAACACTCTTTGATCCTCCTCACTCGAAACAGTCCCTACTCTCCCTTCTCTCCTCACAGTAATTGCCAAACCATTGTCATCATCTTTCTCTAACTCCGCGCCTACCTGTTCCTGTATATTCTCACACAACGACACGAAAATGTCCACATTTTCGAGAATTACTCTCCTCAAACACATCAATTCCTCCTCTCTAACAACAATCAATTCTTCCTTTTCTTCATCTTCCAAATCAACAATCAAATCCTCCTTCAATCTCCTCAACCCTAACTCCATCAATCCATCCAACAATCGCATAGAACCTCTCAATTCCTTCAACACTTCCTCCGACTCCTCCTCCACCTCCGCAACCCTATCAACACTCTCCGAAACCCTAGCACTAATCATCTGAACATACAGCAAGAACTCAACACGAAACCTAATCGAATCAGCCGATACCGAACTCGACCAAACAGAAGTCCAATTCTCAAACTGAAAAAGTTCAAGCGACGAAAGCCAAGTAAGAAGAGCAGGTGACGAACAATTAGTAGAGTAAACAGCATTCTTGAAGTTTCCGCCATTAACGACAATCGTCTGAAGCAGAGATAGCGCAAGATTAGGGTTCCGATGACGGAGACTAAGGATTGTAGCACGAAATGCCTCGAATTGAGTAAGGAATAGGTGATTTGCTGCAACTTTGGAGAGAAGATTGGTGTCTTTGTCCATTGTTAGAGGTGGTTCTCTCTCTTCTTCCGCCATTGATAAAGAGTTGAAGGCAGCGAAGACGATCGAAGCGAAGAAGAAGAGGAGAGAGAAAGAGTGTGAGAGAGAAGATTGACAGTTGAATGCGTCACTAGTTGATGTTGTGTGAGGATGTCTGTAAAAGCGGGAGATCGCCGTCTGTACTGTAAAAAGATTGGGTTGTGGTGAAATGTTCGCACGTTTTCGCTCTTCTTATTTTTACCAGTACTTAATTTTTGACAAATTTGCTAATTACAATTGGTAAAAGTATCGATTTTGCGGGTTATAACAATAACTAAGTTAGATATTTTTTATAAGTTAGATATTTGCGGGTTACAATAACGGTTTATTAAAAATTTATAAAAATTATGTACCTTGTACAAAAATATCTGTACTTTTAAAATTTTATTTTCATCAAAATTATGATATAATACCTATTCAACGTCGCGTAATACATATTTCAAGTCTATTTATTAGTCTGCTACTTAAAATTATTTCATTCTTTAAGGATAAATTGATAGGTTGTAGTTGTAATGTAGAAGTTTCTAATATTCAAATTTCAAAATTATTGAATATAATAACTCCACAAAAAAATTAAAAAAAAATTTAAAAAATTAAAAAAAAAAAAAAAGATGACATCATTCTTGTATTTAGGCAGAAAATTTTTTATTATGAGACTTGTGGACAGTGATGACGTCAGCATCGTTTTGTTTTAGTAATAGTTAATAAAATTTTTATTTTTGCAAATTACAACCAAAAAAAGTCACCAAACATCTATTAACCTATACTAAAAACATGTAGACAGTGATGACGTCAGCAACGTTTTGTTTTAATAATAATTAATAGATTTTTTATTTTTCAAATTGCAACCAAAAAAGTCATCAAACATCTATTAACCTATATTAAAAGTAGATCCTTTTGTGACACTTGCCATTACCTTTTATAAAATCTCCGCCTTTTTCGCTTCTCACTCTTTTTCTTTTTTTTTTTTTTTTTTTTTGCAAAATCTTTAAGTAAACTATTTATGCCTTGTGATATTTTCTTTCCACTTTGACAATCATATTCCATATATACTCTAATGAAATATTTCTGAATATCTTTTATATACTTTATATTTTGTAATATTATTGTCAAAAATATTTAATAATCATTTTAACCTAATTTTAAACTACAACCAAAATGTGATGTCATTAATCATTTATTGATATAAAAGATTACCCCGAGTCAATATTAGTTTGGGATCATTTCTTGATATAATGACGTCATATTATGGTAAAAATGGCCGAAAATCAGATTTTAGTTGTAGTTTAAAATGTTCAGGGGTTTTTTTGGTTGTAATTTGCAAAAATAAAAAATGATGGTTATAACCTGCAAAATGTTAATTTTACCGGTTGTAATTGGCAAATTTTCCTTCTATACGAGTATTTTTTTTGGTTTTTCTTTTTTCGAATCTAATCCAGCATTTTTGGATTTATTTTTTTTTTGGGTTTGTGAGGGCCTTGAGGAGGTTGTATTGCCTTTATTTCATAACAATAGGTAATCCTTATTACACAAAACTTTAAGAAAATTATAGGTGAGGACCCAAAAAAAAACGAAAAATTTTGGGAGACAGACGCACTCACTGTGAGTCCGTCGCCATGAACAACACTCACAACACCATTCTCATTCACACACCCAACCTTCTTCTTTGCGTGCTTCAATTTTCCCTTCTCTTCTTTGCCAACGTCGTTTCCGCCGTCAAATTTGAATTATCGGCATCAATGCAGTGGTCGGAATAAGGGATAGCAGATAGAATTACGCCGGAATTGGATTTGAATCCGAATTTAGATTTGTGGGAGAAAAATTGAAGATGATTGCCGAATTCTAGGGTTTTTGATTGGGGGTTGATTGATGATATGACTGTTGTGAGGAATCCACATAGTTTGTGAGGAATTGTGGATTCCTCGATCTTCATTGTTGTAGAAATTAGAAGGTTGAATTGAATGAAATTATGGAGAAGAAGTAATTATAAGAAAGATGAAGAGAGTAATGAAAATGAATAAGCTCGAAAATATTAATGTCAGGTATTAGGTTATTATTGTTTGGTATTAGATTATTATTGTCAGATATTAGAATATTATTGTCATACATATTGGACTAACAGTAAGGCTGGTCTCATACAAAACCTTCTCAAAAACAAAATAATTTCAACATTTGAATTTTCTATAATACTACCTTTGAATCATTAATCGCACTACTCTGTCATATAGCCACTTTCATTTCATAACATACCACTTAATTTAATTAGATCATGTCAATTTAATTAAGATTTCTTGATTTAACGTTAAATCGCAAATAACATTAAATAGAATTTACATTATTTATATCCTAGGCCTTATCTCTCTTTCTATCTTATATATATAATTACGTTTGCGTCAGTTAATATCTTATATTAACAAATTTTGTTAATATCAACTTTTTAAAAAATATAAGAGTGAGGGATAGCTCAAGTGGTTAGAGCTTCCCTCCCGGTTCAGGAGTCTAAACACAAAAAAAAAAAAAAAAACAATTACAGTATTTAACCATTTTCTAAGTGAATCTGTTAGAATATTTATATGTCATCCTGGGGGACCTTCTAGCGAGGCCATTTGGGGCCCGACCCCTGGTAAATTATTATAATTAATTAGTTAATAAACTTAAATAACCTTATTTTACTTATATAATATTGAAATATAGTGATTATTTTAAAGCGAGAGGCAAAATATTCAAATCGCGGCCCCTCTAATATTTTCGGTCAAGATCCGCCACTCATCCATATACTTTTATCAAGTAGTTATACATCCCTACCTTTTTAAAAGTATGAATAAACTCTTATGTATTGTTGAGCTTATTTTGGCCTAAAAATGTTTATTTACGCATTTACCCTTTTTAAAAGTATGAATACACTTTTATGAATAGTGTTGAGACGATTATGTCTTTAAAATGTTTATTTACATATTTGTCTTCATTAATTTTTTTTTTAATTGAACTCTAAAGAATAGCATGTGGACATTTATAACCATAAAAATATACGTATGTATTTTCCCTAATTAACGCTACCAACAATGCCAGACCGAAAGAACTTCCGGACATGGCTATTGCGCACGTTAGCTAGCCTAAAGCAAATGTTTTGTGTTTTTAACTCAATCTTTTTTCCAATTAGGGATAAACGACCCAAATTTAAGAGTTCGCCTTGCACCGAGCCTTAGATTTGTTCACCTCAAATCTGCCTAGGGATTGTCTTAAATGATGGTTCTTAATCTCCCCCTTATGCCCACCCTTCATATAACCAATAAAATGCATTAGCTCCTACTAAAAGTTACTTTTGCAGGTTTTGTACAGCTTTTCAATTTTATTTTTTTTTAGGATTTTTTTGAAAATTACCACCTATAATTGTTGTTATTTTAGCAATTACCACCTATAATATTTTTTTTTTTTTGAATTTTACCACCTACTATTTTTTAAAACATCAAAACTTTCCATTTACTTGGCTCTCAACTCAAATGAGACGTCATGTGGGGCCAACTAACTACCTTCCCACCCTTTTTCCTTCCCTTTCTTTCTTTCTTTCTTTCTTTCTTTCTTTCTTTCTTTCTCACTCGATTTCTCATCCCCCTGTATTGTACTCCTCTCAAAATTGGGGAAAAACTTCAATTTGTGAAATGATTAACCTGAATATGTAATTTAATTTGAAGTTTTCCCCAATTTTCGAAAGGAGTACAAAATAAGGGAATGAGAAATCGAGAGAGAAATAAAGAAAAGGAGGGAAATAGGGTGAGAAGGTAGTTAGTGGACCCCACATGACATCACACTTCAGTTCGGAGCCAAGTAGGTGGGAAGTTTTGATATTTTTAAAAAAGGAAGTGGGTGGTAAAATTATAAAAAAAAAAAAAAAAAAACTGTAGGTGGTAATTCCTAAAACAGCAACTATTGTAGGTAATAAGTATCAAAAAATCCTTTTTTTATTAATACAATCACATGCAAAATGTAGCAATAGTAGTACGGATTACTTGTTTATGTCGTTTTTTTTTTTGTTTTTTTTTTTTGTTTTTTTTTTTTATTTTTATTTTTTTTTTATTTAATGTAGTCATCATATAACTCTTATTTACAAGAGTTGTGTCTTATTTCGAAAACACCAATTGCAATCTCCAAACTAAAAACACTCATTTCTTCCTTCTTAAATTTTCTCCCTCCTTAAGAACCACCTAAGAAACCCCCATTATTGATGCTTTTAGGATTTAAGCTATAATAGCCCGAGAAATCCTCAAAAATATTACGAGGAGGGTAGGTAATAATATTATTATAAAGTGACGTGGAGTAAAGAGAAGATGGGGCGGAGGCAGGAGGGAAAGAGAGATAAATTTGGACAAGCATAACATATATTCCCTCCGTCTCCAATTGTTTGCCCCATAGAAATATTTCATTTTATGAAGTTTTGGGTGAGTGGAATTGATGAGAGAGAAAAGTGGTGGGACCTATAGTATTTTTGTGAGAATAAAGTACTAGTCCCTATGTACATTAATATTATGGAGCAATTTTTAAGGGATGACTTAATAAAAAGGAAATTAGGGCAAACAAAAAGAACAGAGGGAGTATTATTACGTATCCATAAAATTTATTCTTTTTTCCACTCTATCTCAAAGAAAAAAATAAGTCAAGTTATAAAAAAAATCTACATCAACAATTCAATAGATCAACCTACATGGAAAATGGAAATCATCCTTGCCACATTTTTAAAAAAGGACCAAAACCTTTGCTCAAAAAATAACCCTAGTTTTTCAAAATGTTATCCCCCTTATTTATTAAAAACAATCTTGCAGTAGAATTTATTAAGAACAACCCCCTTATTTATATACCCCAGTACCCCACTGCTGTTGCATCTCAAACACTTCCCCCTCAAAATCTCACACTAATTTCATTTGGGCGGGAGAAGAAAACTCTTTCATCTTCCTCTTCCAAATTTCGCCATCTTTCTCTCTCTTCAACCTTCACTTTCTCTCTCCTACAACAATGGCGGACAACAACAACAACAACAATCATGGCGGTAACCCAGACTCGGAGGAATCTGGAGAAGATTCTTCATCACCGCTAAGTAAGCTTCGTCGTCGTTGGGAGCTTGCTTCTGTCCTTAATTTTTTCAGCGTAAGATCTCGCTTTCTTCGTGTTTTTGGTTTTGATTGAGATTTTTTTTGTTTTTTGATTTTGATTTTTTTTGGAATGGAAGGTTTTCGAGCCGTTGATTGGTAAGGAATCGAAAATGTCAGCGGAAGAGATCGAAGATGCTTTGATTAATCCAAATTCTTCACTTACTAAGCTTCATATCGCGCTTCTTAAGGTATAACTTCTGTTTTGGCTTCTTAAATCTCTTACATTTAGCTGAAAATTTAAGCAATTTCTGAAAGTACTTTGTCTGATTTTTGTGGCTTTTTTTAGGGTCTACTCGGGTAGTTGTTTGCTGTGTGTGCGTTTGTGTGTGAGAGCCGGCGGGCGGGTGTGCGGCGTTGATTTTACTTGGAGTAATTGTTATATGAACGTCTATTTGTTTCAATTTTGGTGCAATAATAGTATATTTTGAATGTCTAAGAAAGAATTTTTAGATGAGAATGATTAGAATGTATGCCAGTGTTTTTAATCAATGTCATTATGTCCTGTTCTCGGTCTGTGAATCTTTGGTTTCGTGTTTCCTTGTAAAACTGTCATATGTGTTTCATCTTTGATGGAAGTTGAAATATGAATATAGATGTTTGAAAAATTACATTGTTACTTGGTAGATCAAGTGTAGGGTTTTTTTAGTAGTTGTAATTACTTGCATATGCTTATTTGAACATGGATGATGCCCCTTTCGTTCAGCTTTGTATGTGACATGTATATTGTGATAGCAAATACAGTTTAATTATTCTAGATGTCCTCTCTCAAGGCCCTTTATGAATAAGGTTCCCCGTAAGAGAAAGAAAATGGGAATATGCAGTATATGTTACTCTATGTGAAGTAGTGTTTGTGTAATATTCCAAAGTTAAACAGCAACTTTAAAGCTCAGAACTTCCTTGCAACCAGTTATGTGTTTTGTAGAACTAAATATCATAGCTTATGGTTATTGCATGTGGAAAAAAAAACTGTTTTTGTCAAAATGATTTTGTTATGTAATATTTGATCTGGATTTATAATGCGTTTTCAGTTTTCTTGAAAGGAGTGCGGCTTCTTATTGTCCCCCACCCTCTACACTTGGGATGATCAACTTGAATTCTTTTGTAGCTAAAGCGTAATGGTTAATGTAGAATATATTGCTCTTTTGTAGCTAAATTGTTACTGTTAATCTAGTACATATTCGAGGTTCAATATTGTGATTAACTATGTAGGGTACCAAGCAACTGTATAACTGATCAAGAACTTTGCTTTTTGTAATTTGATTAGACCGGCTGTGATCTTAAAGTGTCATGTCATGCAATTGATTAAACAAACAATTGTCATGATTTTTTTTTATAACATTGCTGTTATATTTTACAGGGGATACGACCTGTTAACAAAAAATTGTCTGAACCTGATTACTGGGTGAAAAGTCTTTGTATAAAGCTAGCTGAATGGTGGCCCTGGGTAGGTTTTCATAAGCCTGCACAGCTTTACTTATATTTTGATGTGGTTGATGAACTTGATTAAATCTTCTATATCTTTCTGGTTTCCTTGGAGTAGGTTGCTGAAGGCGAAGTTCCTCTGGTTGCAGCAAAAGGGTATCATTGTTTGTTCCTTCACTTTGACTCTTACATTGACCAATTTTGTTGTGAGAAAGTTTGATCGCTAAGGTGCTGCATTTTCTTGTGCAGAGAAGAAGTATCCAGATACAAGAAACTTGATCCAACAATGCGGTTGCTGATGTTAAAGGCATTGTGTGAAATCCGAGCATTGGTGATTTTATTTACCTTCCGATTTATTTGAAAATTTTGCTGTATGTGATAGTCCATGATTAAAACATAGTTGCTCAATTATTGCAGTGCTAGTTGATTTCCATTTTTCTTTTCGTGGTTTTTCAGTATCAATGAGTCTGTCTTTTAACTTAAATCTTGTTCAGAGTAATGAATGAATTTTGTTGCTTGTTGAATATGTCTCAGAGTCTCAGACTAAGATTTTTTTTTTTTTTTTTTATGTAATTGAAGCCACTAAATTTTAGTGTTTACTTTGCTTATAGCAAGATGATCTGGCTTCTTTTATCAATGATGCACTCAAGGAAGGGGCACAAATATCTCAATTTCGTAAAGATAAGATTGCTCAAGATAAAAATGGGGTTTCTTACTGGTAATTAATTATCTGTATGTTAACAGTAAAGCAATTCTAAGCATTACGTGGGTTTGATAATTCTACCTTTGATTTTATTACTGATAGGTATGATGGGGATCCAGTTATTGGTCATAGACTGTACATGGAAGTGGACAATGGCATGTTGAAGCAGAAGCATAGGGGTAAAAACTGTGTAGATCTGAAAGAAACCAACTCAGAGTGGGAGATTCTTGCTACCAATCTTGATGAATTTCGTAAAGTCTCTGTGCGTATGATTGGAAGCTAATGACTGTGCTTGTCTTTACAATGAGTCATGCCAGCTGCACTCTGAACGATAATTGACTTTTTTCTTCCTAATTTTTGCAGGAGAGATTTTCTTCTTGCCAAGTTGGAGTTGAGGCAGCAGTGCATGAGACTATTGAAACTGAAGTTATTCCTGTACTTGAAAAATTGCAGAAGGTAAGGAAGTTGCTTTCGCATTCCATATCTTTTTGATTCAACTAGTGATCAGAACTTTTTCTTAGTTTGCGGATGCTTAATTTATTTATGGCCATTTGTAGAAAAAAGAGAGGGATCTGAAGCGACGTCAGAGAGAGGAAGCTTATGTGAGTGGTTGTCACTCCTATGCTGCTGGAGTTACCCGTTCTTGTCGCACACGCAGACCTGTGAAGTATACATTTGGTATGCTGTGAAAACTCCTCTGCTGGAACTGTCATTAGCTGTACATAAGATGTTCATGCTAGGCTGACAACTGGCATTAAAGCTGGTTACTAATACAGATATAGTGTCATGGTTAATGTAATAGATTTTGCCATGCCATCATCATTATAGATCTGAGTATGGAAATCAATAAATATCCTTTCTGTTAATCTCTCTCTTCATATTTGCCCTTTGTTTGGTTAATTGAAATTGGCATAGTAAAGTACTATTACAGTCAAGGCATCACTCATTAGCTGTCATCATTCTCATCTCTGTTTCCTATTCATGGTCTTAAAGTGTTAGGTTTCACTGCTTTGAAATTTGGGATGGTGCTTAAGTAGTTATGCTACTTCATTTAATCTTAAGCAAGTACATGTATGTTGTAATTTCATCAAACAGCTCCTCCACTTCATTTACATTCCTTCAATCAAATGTTTAATGTCCTTGTCAATGTTTTCTCTGATTTACACTATGGTCAATAATTTATGAAGAGAAAGCCAAAGTTGCCTGTATTTTGGGAAATTCCTGAGGGATTGTAGCCATCTAAAATAGTGTCCAGTTCATAGCATCCTTTTTCAGGGTGTTTTCTAGTGTTATGATGAGTAGTCTTTTACGTAAATTAGCAAAGTCTATCCTAGACTGCTTTCTTAGTTTTTTTTTCCTTTTCCTTTTCCAGATATGTGTTTGGCGACTTCACTTTTAAAGAATGTAGATGTGTTAGGTGAATGTAATTTTGAAGAATATAGGTGTTTGTCTGTTTGAAGACTGCCATTTCCAAAGTGCTAGGTTTCTTATTGAATGTCTCCAAAATTTTTTGAGTACTTCCTTTGTTACTGCTGGTGTTCTGTTCTTGCTAGTCTGCCTCCATACGTGCGTTTGTCAAGTCTCCTTTGTCTTGTGGCTGTTTTTTTTCTGTTTTTGTTTTTGTCAAATCAAGATGTATTAATATGTTTCTTGTGTTAATTGTATGCAGATGATTTTGACCGGACAATTGACGAGGCTATAAAAGAGACAAGGTAGGTTTTTTTTTGTTTATTTGTTATTTTGATCAATAAAATTAAAAAATATCTGGTGGATGCTGAGTAAGTTATTCTGTTTGTCCTTTCGTATGATGAAGGCTCTCTTGGTGCGGGCAATTGAGCATTGTGATAATTCCTTTAGCATCAGTATGTAATTCTGCTCTCGTCTTAAATAGTGGAAAAGAATAATTGCATAGACAAAAGGATGTATATTCACCTTGATCTGTGCTACATTTCTTTGCATGCATGTTTGGGTTTGTCTATTTTATTTGCATTTTCAATAAATTTTTGATGGGCTTTAAAATTTGTTTATTGATTAGTTCTACATTTCTTTATGTGCTTTGTTTAAATGTTATTTTCAATAATAATGAATGAGAGAAACACATTTCTGTAATTTGATTGGGTAGTGGTGGCTACTAGTTTATTTACTGGTGCTGCCACTTTTGGCTATTGCTTTTTCTTTGTAATTATTATCTTTGTGTAAAAACTACGGATTTTCAACTTTAATTGACATTTGCACGGCTATGTTTTGAGTATTAATGAACATTATAACATACAAGTTCTAGGCAATCCTGTCACTTATTACCTGGGGTCTTGGGTATTATTTTTGTCCTACTTAATCTTTCCCCAGGAAGTTTTTGTGTATGAATACATATTAATCCCTCCGTCCCTTGTTGTTTGCACCATTTGACCCGAAAAGCTCTCACAAAAAGTGGGCCCATGGTGCAAACAAAAAGGGATTGAGGGAGTAGTATTTAATGATTCTCCATTAGCGATTTGGTCTTTTGATTAATGTGGTCAGCTGGCTGCACTCTCAGTCTAGTGCTTATTCTCTATATTTTTTGTTTAGGAAAGGGAAAGTTAGAAAGGTGGAAAGGAATGACACCATGCATCCCAAACATGGGAAAAGTGGTGATGCTTCTGATGCAGATTTGCAAAATAATGCTCATGCTGACGGATCTCCAGCTTCCACTTCCAAGGACAAGCAAAATGACCGACAGGGTGAAGGGGATTCCAATGATGAGGAAATTGACCAATTGAGTAAAGGTAGTGACATTGACGAGGAAGATGACCAAAAGGGTGAAGGCAGTGAAAATGACGAGGATAACCAACAGGGTGAAGGCAGTGAAAATGATGAGGAGGATAACCAACAGGGTGAAGGCAGTGAAAATGACGAGCAGGATGACCTTCGAAGTGAAGGCGGTGACAAGGGCAAGGATATAAATTGTACTGACATTGCTGGCAAAAGTGATAATGAGGTAGTTAGTGATAGTGAAAGCGATTCAAGTGATTTTGAGCATGAAAATGTCAAGCATGATGGAGCAAAGCATAATAAAGTTCTTTCGCAAGTACAGAAAGACAATGTTGCTACCGGCTTGCAGATGAAAAAGAATTCAGATTGTATTTCTGGTCAGAATCTTCATGAAGGCAGGAATCCAGAAGCTAAGAATCGATATAGGCAGAGGCCTACACTAAACAGTGCCTTGAATTCTTATGTTGTCCCTGATTCAGAAGATGAAAGCTCTCCCGAGAATTCGAGTGGTGATGCATCAGGTGAGGGAGATCCATCTGAGGTTGCTGATTCTGAGGATGAAATTAGCAGCTGAAAACTATGCTGATACACAGAAATAGTTTATTTCTCTGGGTTTTGTATTGAAGAGAAATGTAGATTAAATATGCTTGTAGAGTTGGCATAGGTAAGTTTTTGGCCTTTTGTTAATATATCTAATCTCTAGAAAGTGTCTGTATCCACCAGTGTGGCCTGACTGGCGTGACCATAAGTGGATTCTGGAGCATGTTCACAGCTACTCAAAAATGCTACTGGCTTAAGTAACGTGCTAAGTCGATACATGGCTTCATTTTGGTACTCATGGTGGAATGTATATATCAAGTCCATGTATTCATATTGAACTTTTGAGTACGCGTTTGATGTAACTGCAGAAAAGCAACTGGTTAGGATATCTTGTATAAGCTGAAGTTCATTATCTTTATGAAATGCAATTATTTTATCCACTCGAATAATAGAATATGCTTCAATTATCAATAGTTAAGTCATATCACGAAAATAAGATAACATTTTCCTTTAACTGGGCAGCTCTCTATAAATTGCATCGTGTGGGGGGGGGGGGGTTGATTTTTGCAACTTCCTACAAAGGAGGGATTATGCAATTAAAGAATGTAGGAAGTATTAATTTTGTTTTGTTTCAAATAAAAAAAGAGTGTTAATTTTGTTTAAACAAAGTATTAATTTAGTATGAATGAAGTGAGAATTTATCTTACCATACTCATGTCATAAATTGATGAATTTATTTTCTTTGTGCATTTGGTCAAGTAAAAGATCAAATGGTTTTACTGTAAATCAATGGTACGCTAGTGATCAAATGGTTCTTTAGTATTTGATAGTTGACATTAAGGCAACACAAGAACACTAATGATGGTGTAATTTATTACGTATGCTCCACATAATTAAAAATTTGAAAGTGTCCCATTATTAAATTTAAGGGAAAATTGGTGTACAAGTCAATAAGACATTTATACATGTCATATTTGATTTTAATGATTAGATTTTGTTAGTTATTGTGACAATTGATACATACAAGTATGGAGGCATATTTTGTCCAAAAAAAAAAAGGTATAAAGGTATATAATCTGAAACCATTTTTTAGAGTTATTGAATCATATTAATCTGACATACACATTACACCGTAACGTAAAAGGAGTATGTTACATTACTACCTTCCTTAAAATTCAGTAATATAAATATATGTGGAATATTCTTACAACAAAGAATATTACAGAGTATGACTTAATGTAATTGGCACAACAGTTTCTATAATTTATTACAGAGTATGCAATTATATTCAAAGCTTACAGAAATACGAACTACTACGGAGTATTACACAATTAATATATAAATTAACTTATACGATATTATGGATTACTTAATAACCGATTAATAGGCTATCCACTATCCCTACAATAGAACATAATAAGCTTGACTGTGTAACTTCCCAACCTAATATCCACTATCCCTACAATAGAACATAATAAGCTTGACTGTGTAACTTCCCAACCTAATCCAAATAATAGCTTTTGGGTCTACCTACTGTTTAGCTGTATTCAACAATTACTAAAAAGGAATAAAACGCATAATAGAGAAGTACAAGCGTAACCAATTAATTGGCTACCTTTACAATAAGGGATAAGCTTTAACTATCTAACCCAATCCAAATAATAGCTTTTGAGTCTACCTTTTGTTTATTTGTCTCCCTAGTCCCTACCACTACTATAAATGCATAAAACGCATAAGAGAGACATAAAAGTGGGTGTGAGATTGTGATTTGTAACCTTAAATAATAAGATGTCATATTGTGATTTTTGAGCCAAAACTTGAGTTTACCTCGTCTCTGATGATTATTCTTATATTAATCAAAGTTATCTTTTGATAAGATCATGTTGTATTATTATAATCTTTGATCTAGTCATTATTCTGCTTTGTATCATCCAACATATATTCCAAGTCTTGTTGCAACTATAGGTGGAGTGTTTTACTCAAGAATCTTGTCCTAATGCCTAAACTATAAACAGTAAACACTAAACAGACATTGTCTTGAGATAAAAAAAAAAAATATAAAATAATTAGGGCCTAGTTTTGCATGCATAATCTTGCTTCTTGAAGTGGTACTCACGAGCTTAGATTGTGTTGCATTAATCTATTCGATGTTGTAATTTTTTTCTTCGGAATATTATCCACCATATATTCGAAGTATTGTTGTTAATGTGGGTGGAGCAATTTACTCACGAGTCATGGCCTAATGTCTAAGTGGACATTTACTTGAGATCAAAATAAATTAGATATATCGAGTCTATGTGTGCATGTATAATTTTTTTATTTTTTCATAAAAGTGGTACTCACGAGTCACGAGCTAGTATTTTAGTGTTTATTGACTTGAGATTGAATCCGACTAATCGCACTGCATTTGCTATCTCAAATTTACGAGTTGAGATCAAAATAAATTAAATATATCGAGTCTATGTGTACATGTATAATTTTATTTTTTTTCTTCATAAAAGTGGTACTCACGAGTCACGAGCTAGTGTTTTATTGTTTACCGACTTGAGATTGAATCCGACTAATCGCACTGCATTTGCTCTCTCAATTTTACAAGGGGTAAATTAGGAAGAAAAAAAAAACAAGTCAAGAAGGAAAACAAAAGGAAATTCATTTTCCAATTATTTTCGAACCTCCGAAAATCAACTCGAAAGTGAGAGACATTCATCGTTATCTTCTTCTTCAACAAGTGAAATCTCAGAAAGCTTCTGCAACAATCAATTTCATCCGCCATTGAAGAGGGAGAGACAAAGCTCTAAGATAAGAGATAAAGTGTGATGGCAAGTACTGGAAGAGAAGCAAGACGACGTCGTATTTTACAAGGAGGACAAGATCGTCTAGCTCTCATCACAGGTCGAAAACCTAGTCTCTCATCTGATGCCAATGATTCCGATTCATCTCAACCGTTTGTTCCTCAACAACAGTATCATCAAGATCTCAAATCAGTTCTTCCTTCTGATCAACCTTCAGGTAGTTTCGTCTTAATTTGCTGAAATTTTTTAATTCGTCTTATTTTTTGTAATTGATTATTGTCGGAAATCCAATTGGTTATATTATTCAATTTTGATTTTCTTAGATGATTTAGGGCTTTGAATACTGTATCTATTTGCAATTGAGTTGTGGCATGATGAACTTATTGGATATTTTAGGCGTGAATGAGAAATTGAACTGGACTTGTAATTTGTCTAGTTGTTTTTAGGGTTGATTTTAATTTTTAAATTGACGGTCGGATTTGCATGAAGGGGAATAAATAGGCGAGTTTTATTGGGATTTTATTAGATTATTACTTCGTAGAATTTTTACAGTTCAAATTTGAGCTAGTACGGAGTAGTATATTTGGATAGAGAATTTACACATGGAATATTACTAGTACTATGGGGGATTTTTTCTTTCTTTTTTTTTTTTTTTTTTTTTTTTTCCCCCCGGAAATGTTCATGAAGAATTGGTCTAATTATGGATTTTTAGCAAAGAGAAACAAAAGAAAAAGTTGTAAAAAGTCAATAAAAGATGAGATAGTGGGCACCATGTAGAAGAATAGGGATAGTGGTTGGGGAACTGTTGTACGACCTTGGAGATTAAAAAGACGAAGACATGGAGCTCTTATTGGTATTGTCTCTTGAACTTCATTGGGCGAAGGGAAATCTATTTGGATTGGAAGAAAGATAATTTCCTCCACTTTTGTTATTTGGTGGACCAAAATATAGAGAGGTTATTCATAGTATTTACTAGCAAAGGATAAGGTTTTGGAAAGGGTGATAGATTCATATGAGAGTTTGTGTTTCAGGGTTTATGACATTAGTCCAAGGTGGGGGACATGAGGATGAAATCGTTATTTTCCTTTCGTAACCAGATCACTGAGTGTATGCACATAAGAGGCGGGTGGCTAAACAATTTAATGTGGTGTTGAAGTGTTGTAAATGTATCGTTCGAGTTCATTTTGGCAGCTCTTTTGTTGTGGGTAGTCTTCATAAGAGGCAGGAAAAATAATACTGCATATAGTTTTGTTAGTGGATGAGATTTGTGGATTTGGGATGCTATATGTTTAATCTTCAACTGCTTGAATTTAGATGTAATCTGAATGGGTTGTATGATTTTGAAATGCAAAAGTTGAGCTCATTTTTTTAGGAACTCAGATCCTATTTGGCAATTTTTGAATAGTGCCTAGCTGGTAGTTCATTCCATTAGCTGGTAGTTGATGAATTGAAATGTACTCTGTAGGGATGTATGGGTTTGAAATGCAAATATTGAGCTCAAATAAGTTGGCCTATTTACTTTGGGAATTTGGATCCTCTTTGGCAATTTGTGGGTAGTGGCTAGCTGATAGTTCATTTCATTAGCTTTCAGTTAATTCCTTTAGCCAATTTGACGAGCCAATTTGTTTGTATAAAGATGTTTGGTGAATTTTAATTGATAGCATATAGTCAAATACTATGTAGCTGTTAGCTGCTTGAGTATATTGTAAAAACATTGACATGATTTATTGTTCATTGTTCTTCTGTCAATAAGTTTTGGCAAAGTTAGCTATACTTTTGATTTTAATAATTTACAGCACCCTTAATATAATCCTCTTGTGTGAAAAATAAGGGATATCTTGCAATTAGCTAAACTACCAAACGACATTATTAGTGGACTGACATTTTACTGCAATCCTGCAAAATTTGGCTAAACCTGTCTTTATCAAAATAGGGCCTATATGTTTCAGATCTTAAGGGTACCTTTTCTTCGTTGTTCTTGCACATGTTATTGGATTATGCCGACATCTTCATTGGCATGCTGTTGATGCAGACCGCTGCATGGATCAGTACCATGATTGCAGAGTTTCATGGTTGTTCTCCCTTTACACATGTGTGATAACTTCACCACTCAGGCACTCACTGACTTTTGCTTGATTAATTTGATTCGGGAGTATGTTTGTAGCCTCCTCTTATAAGCTTAAGTCCTTTATGTATCATGTGTGATAACTTCACCACTCAGGCACTCACTGACTTTTGCCTGTTGCCAAAGTCCTTTATGTATCAACAATGAAAAGAGGTATTATGAAGTATGAAGCAGGAGGTATTTTGATGTGGCCAACCAAGACAGATGAGGGAGGTGTAAATAGATGCCTAATTGTATTTTCAGGCTTTATGTTTGAACCAACATTATTAATAGTATCTATTAAAGCAAATCTTTTAGTTTTTGCAAAAAAAATTGAAAATGCATTATATGGCAAGGAATGATTGAAAAATTGAATTGGTAGGGCATCCGGATCCTGTTATGTAGAGTTGAAGGGTTGTATGCTCTTGAGCTCTATGCTTGCATTTGCACCCTACTTGACTCATGGACTGCTAAATGGAGATCGTTTTTGCAAACCAATAAATCCTAATAAAATCAAATCTGAATGTTATGACATGTTAAGAAAAGATCTTATTTGGATTATTATTATTTTTTTTAAAATTTTTTTTATCATTCATGAAGATAAAAAAGTAAGCATCTCTTATGTAATCCCTCTATACCCTATTACAACAGCAAATCAACCTCGAGTCTGTGACATGATTTTCTCCCAAAAGTTCTTTCAATTATTTATAATTATTATTATTAAAAAATTGTGTTACCAATTTAGAAGTGCTAACATCTCAAAACTTGTTATATACTTATAAAGAGATATACAGTTTTTTGATAGTTTGACCTGGAAAGTCAGATTGAAAAATCAGATTGGACTGTTATTGTATAATGGACGGACTGATTGGTAAGATTGGTGAGTGTGGATGACAGGCTTGCAGATGTATGGGGACAGAACAGGCTAATAACAGCACTCTTTAGGGTTAATCTTAGCCGGTATTTGTTCAGGATAGTGGTTGCAAAGTTGGCTGTCAAGTAACCAGATCATTTTGATGCTGATATTTGTCAAGAATACAGCAGCATTTGTGGTTGTTGCTGAATGATACTAAAGTGGTATGAAATGGTTAGCTACTTGCTGTCACTGTGGGATGTGGGCCATTGGTTGTTCAGGAGGATATGGCAATCCTCTCTCTTTCTGGGGGTGATGGGGTGTGTGGACTTTTATAGTTTCATTTGAAAATGAATCCCTAGCCAATGACAGGCTTACCTTTAATGATCCTTTGGGGTTCAATTTTCTTTGGAATGCAGCACACTTTTTTGTTGTCTCTAATTATTTAATTTGGGTGGAGTGACTATTGAGCTCTGAAAGGAACCTACCTTTAGATTGATACTTTTCTGGAAAAAGAAAAATTCTTCTTCAATAATTTCCCTGACCTCTCTTGAATATGGGGTCAGAGGGTGTGAGTGCGTGTTTGAATGTTTGAACAAAGAAGTGGACCTTATACTTGTAATGATGGCTATGGGAAATGAAGTTAAGATTATTCTCTTTTGGAGGCCGAATTTTAGCTAATCAACCTTCTTGATTTATTTTAAGCCAGCATAGAATGCTATTGTATATCTGTAAGTTTACAAGATTCAAGGGGTGTAACACTGTAACGTGTAAGGTACTAAGATGACTGTCGGTCGCTTATCTTGAATCTCTAACAGTAGTCTCTGTGTGTTTATAGTGCCATTGAATTTACAATGGGAGAAGCAAGAGTTCTGTCATAACCCCATAGCTCCTTATGAGTTATGACAACTGTAAATGTTTGCTGTTTTGATTGTTGTCTGGCCTTTTCAATTTTGTTGTGTTGGTTTATACTTCGTATTAATCAGTGGTTTATGTAAAGGATTGTTTTTCCCATAGTCAACTTAGGCTATTTAAAGTACTGGTGAAGACCTTTATAGTTTATGTTTGACTTGTTGAAGAAGCAGGAGCAGAAGAAGGCTAGATTTAATCATGTTACTGTAGCCATTTGGAGCAATATAAAGGCTTGTGAAAACTTTAGTGCACAACTGCACATATTATTAATTTAATATTCTGGTTTAGGTTGAATATAGTGCGACATATATTTAAAATGGACCTGAGAAAGCATAATGATGTCTGTGGCATGTGGTGCCTAGTAACTTTCAAAGTCCTTGTGTTGCCATTATTAGTATCGAGTAGTCCTATGACTAGCATCGCTTGATAAGTAAGGACTAATTGACTTTGTGATTACTGTTTTTGGTGCTCTTCTATTCACTGAAGCTTCTACGATGTTGAATCCTCCAAGGTTCTCTTAATATTTGATAATCTGTCATTATTATGTTGTTATTTATGGTTGAAAGTTCTTATTAACGGGTTGCTCATTGATTGGTTTTGCAGTCTCTCGAACTGATGAAGACAAACCCTCATACTTTATGCACGATCAATCTTCAAACTTCAATCAGGATGATGCATTAGGTGGCCGAGACAAAGAAGAACCCTTGTTAAGAAAATCTGAGCCAGTAACTGAACCCCCAAGAGCAACTGCATCTGAAGATAGCAGCAAAAGAGAAGCTTCTTCCGGAGTTCAGAAAGTGCTTGATGCTGCACTAGGGGTCGCCCAACAGATCCCCATTAGTAATGTAACTTCACAGCAAGTAAATGTGGCTGTAGCAGAGACAGAGCATGATAGATTGTTGTGTTCTCTAACAATAGCAATCTTAGTTGTCCTGTCATCCGCTGGATTTCCAATAGTGGGCAGCAAGGTATTTAGGGGGATCTTATTATTTCGACCACTCTTTCTCGTTTTGATAACCAATATAACACTTGTCATCCGGAGACTACTACCTGATAATCGGAAGAATGTGTTACGAGGTGATAAAGATAGAACGTCACTTTTAGGTGATGGGTATGCTTGGGCTGAAGACGCTGGGAGGGCGTTAGAGCTGGGATTGACTCTAAAGAACCTCTCGGGTTCACTATTCATGGATTGCAGCGTGTATGCTACGATTGTTGTATTTGGCCTTTCTCTGTTTGGCTGAAAGCCACATCTCTAGTTTTTCTAGGCTAAAAATTTTCTCCAACTGTAACGTACTCAACTTTAGTCATGTTAAGCAATTCTTTACTTTAGTAACTTCCATTGCAAATTTCTTGTATGCGCTATAGTTTCTTTCAGCTTTAGATTAAAGTTTTGCAACAAGCGTTGTACACAGCATCTCATCATTGGCTGAAAAACCACATCTATAGGTTTTGTAGGAATTTTTTTTTTTTGCCTAATGTAATATTTATAATATCATAATGTTAAACTCTTCCTCATTATCTCAAGAGCCCGGCTAACTGTCTAACAGTAAATAGTTCGGTAACTAACATGGTTGCGGTTTCAATTGCATGTGCCCTTAATCATAGTCCAAATACAATGTTCTTCGCTTCTTTTAGTCACCTTGCTAGCAATGAACTTACACAATCGTTAAGAGTAGTACCATGTTTCGGTGTATTTAAAATTTGATAAGAGCTGTAAAATTGAATGTTCTTGTGTATTACCTAAGAATTATCAGTACTTGTGTACTATATCTTGATTCATAGTAACTGCATGAAGATCAATTAAAAGATCCCAAAAATCTGAGTCACATGCCCAAATCAATCAACCCTAGCTAGCAAGTGGTTACAAATTCTGTTGAGCAAATATTGTAGTGGGGTTTCCATGAATGAATCAGTCAACCCCTTCAGTTACAGGGTTTTTATCCTCTACACACTAATAATCTTGATCAACAACTCGTAACCACACGATCGAGCTTGCTCACGATCAAACCTCTACAATGTTGACAGGTAAAGGACTCTAAATAAATATGGTAGGGATGCTGCACAGCAGAACATTACCAACTTACCCCAGGAAGAAAAAAAAAAAAAAAAAAAAAAAAAAAACTGAATGAACAATTCTGTGGGGCGGCTTTCAATCAAATAGTTAGTAAAGGTACTTGGGATAGTACCCTTTTGAAGAAGTAATAGTATCCACTCCTATTTTGGTAAATTCTTTCAATCTTCCTCCTGTCCTATAAATATAGGGTACCCTCTCTTTCAAGGGCTACACAATTCCATCTTTCCATCTCTCTTCTCTCACAATTTTTTTGTTTTTTGACGTCCCCCTCTCCAAGTAATTATATAATAAAATACTGTGTTGATAAATAAAAGCACGGATTCTTGTAGTGTACAGTCGTAGTCGTAAATTAAGTGGTTATTAATTAAGCACATATATATGTGATGGGTAGTAGGGTAAAAGAGTGGGAGCAAAAAGTGGTGGGGGAAGTTGTTGACAGAAGATAGAGAGCACAGAGGATGAAGTGCATGGGGATATTTGGATTTGGGGGTACTTAAGCTATCATTATTATTATTATTACTGCTGCACTTCACTTTCCTTCGTGCTCTCTGTGCTTCTGTCATCATCACCTCCTGCTTCTCCTCTTTCTCTCTCTATCTTCCCTCTAAATCGCTCTTTGGTTTCTACTATTACTGATAAACATTTTTTGGTTAAATTTGATGATACTTCTTATAGGCTTGCTGGTTATCAATCGTTTCGAGTTATCGATCAGAAACCTGTTATTAATATAGAAACATGTTAGTGTTTTTTTTTTTTGTTGTTGTCGATTTTCAAAATAAATGACTAATGTTGCATAATTGGTTTACATATGATATGACTATGTATTAGCTTGGAAGTTGACCCACTTATATGACCTTAACTAAGTGGCTTATAATGCTCTACCTAGCTTCTTTTAATAAGATTGGTTCAAAATAAGATTTTGCTTTATTATCTTTGCTTCCTACTTTTGACATTTTTACCAACAATGTAAATTTTTCTTTATCATATACACTCTTTTCAAAGAAAACTTTAGATTATCACGTCAAGTTGGAGGTAAGACTGTAAACATATATATATGAAGCCTCTATGAACGAAGGTAAGATTCATAATTCAATTGTTTTTGTCGTTGTTGATTGTTAGTTGTTGCAATGCTGCTGCATAATTATATTTTTGTTGCTCATACTAAAATGCAAAATAGGCCATTGTGTTCTCTTTTTCTATGCCCAAATTTCTCAATCTAATTAGCTTTTTGAAAATGTATATGGAGTACTATACTTCATAGCGTCAATGCGGTCGTGTAACTGCCTACTTGCCTAAGGCCGCGGTACGTTAGCATTGGTTTTATGATATACTATGCAAGTAATGAATATATAAAATTATCCTAGCTTTTTATTTTTTCCTTGTATATATGACCTAAAATGTCACTACTTAAGCATTTTACTGGTTTTTTTTTTTCTTTTCTGTGAGAAGTTCCTTATCATGCTCGTGCACTACTAGCTAGCAGATGATGGGCGATGGCGGATTACCAAGGCGACAATAGCTGTTTCATGAAGATGATATGGATGATCAACATGGCTATACAAAACAAGGATATCTTGACGCTTCTATTTTGTTCTATTTATTTTTTATTTTGTAGTTATTAACATTCATGTACGTACGCGTTTTGAGCTGAGATTACATTATACCAGCAAGCAAGCTATAGTTGCAATGGTGTTTAAATGTTTCTGGGAGTTTAGTAAAGATGATAAGCATTTTATTGGTTAATGAAAATGATTATTACAAAGTAAAAAGAAAGAATAATAATACAATCAAATTATTATAATGAAAACATGCTCCACAATGTCCTTTTCTAATAGTTGCAAAGCTACGTGGTAGTTGATATGACGTTTAAGATTGAAAAGAAGGAAAAAAAACCAACTTTTTGAGTATTTGGTAATTGATAACTACTGTTTGTATATGTGTAATGCTATGTTGACAATAACAATAATAGTTTGCTTTACACTAGAGGAAGTTATACAAAGTTGTTCTATTTTTGGGTTAAGTCATGTAAGATTGGTGTGTTCTAGAGTATGGAATGAACTGCTAGTGGCAGCTTTGGCGGACCTTGATTTGCAACAATGATCCCATGCCCATCTAAATAGAAATGTTCATACTAGACAATTGACAATCATAGTTTGCTGATGGGAAGCAAAGCTCATCCTCATCAAGGGCATGCATTAACAAAATCGTCTGCACTTTAAAAAAATGTGATTCAGCTAACACATCTGATATGTCGGATATAGATACATCAAAATTTATACAAGGAGTATATGATAAGGCATTGGCCTCATTGTGTTACACATTATGAAACACAATGTTTACTGTGTTAAGGAAACCAAATTACTGATGAATAATGTTAATGTAATTAATTAGAAGTTTAACAATGAAAAATCACTGAACATTATTCTAATTGTAAAACAGATTACTAGAATGTATTACTAGAATCAGCAAATTACTATAAATTACAGATAACTCATGACTTCTCTAGCTGCATCATTTGCTTTAAGTCTGCAATAACAGTACAAAGTATTAAGTTACTTTGAACCAGAGAAGCAGAGACCTAAAAAATGATCTACTTTAGCTTGTCCTCACAATCTTGAACTCACGGTTGTTTTCTCTTCTTGGTCCTGGAACAGTTTTGTATTTCTTGCTCGCGGGCATAGTAGTGATGCAATATGTAGCGACATCTCATTCTTCTTAACCTATCCTACATTAGATAAGAAACTCTTTCATCAGCTGAGGTTTTCCTAACTACTGCAAAAAATAAAGATACATCAGTGAAAATTCACACACAAAATGTTAGTAATTTAGAGTGTATGTCTGGGGAGAGCCCTCTCCCAGTTGGGGAGAGGCCGCGGCTGGGAAGCCACCCGGAAAGCCGCGCCCGTGGGTGACTGGGGAGAGCCCTCTCCAAGGGCGCGGCTAGCCTTCTCCAGAATTCAGAGGTTTCTTTCGTTCTTTTTATTGTAAAATTGAAACGGAAAAAAAAAGGAGATGATTCAGTATTTCTCTCCTCCCCAAAGTTATTCTCTACACACTTTATTTGAAGAAACTGGCAATCTCTTCATCTAAATCTCTATCAATTAGTTAATATCTTTCATACTTGTTGTTTAGTTCGTAAATTTCCTGTAATTTACTTATTTAAACTTATTAGTGCTTGGTTTGTATATTATTATTATTTGTAATTGAACATTGTTTTTTAGATTTTGTTCCCACAAATTTGTAGTACTAGAAGTTTTGTACTAGGAAAACCTAACACAAAAGGTCTATTTGAAGAGATTTACAGACAAATTAAAGTGAAATGTAATTTTCATCTGCATTTGCTGTTGAAGTTAATTTTCGTAAGCAAGCATAATTCAAAAGATTAAAAAATAATACAACTAACCTTGATATAGCTTAAAAACTGATGACGCTGATTGCCAGGGTTGTCCTGAGACAGAGGGAGGATCAGAAACAAAAGTTTCATAGCCAATTTAATTTTAGAATGATTACTGAAATAAAAAGAAATTCACAAGGGAGAAATTGTACCAGTTTAGGCGATTTACCCCAGAATAACATTAGGGATGTGTTGAATGATCTTCACCATCAGGTTGCTGACATCTTTTCTCCAGGTTCACACATTCCTTAATCTGGAGTCGTTTTTTCGACTTGAGTTCAGAAAAATAGCTTGGAACTTGTTTCAATCTCGGACAATATTGAATCTCCACATGTTCTAAAGCTGAGAGGCCAGCTAGTGATTCAGGGAGATCCAACAGATTAGGCAAATATCTGATGACAAGCTGACGGAGCAGGATGAGATGTCCAACCGACTCTGGTAGACTTCTGACATTATAAAGCCAACTGAGAGAGAGTTCCTCAAGTGTTGTGAGGCACTCAAGGCCCATTAGCAGGGGTTCTTCTATTGACATATTTGACACTTTCAAAGAGCAGCGATTCTGAAGTACCGGAACTACTGCTGAAGCTGATGATGATGATACCGTTGCTGATGCTTGGACACTGAGAACATGTTTTAGGAGATCTCTATGGCAGTTGCTTATCTCCAGTGAATGAAGAGTTGGCATATCAGGCATTAATATAAGCTCTGGGCAACCGCTTAGTCTGAGATCATTAAGTCGAGGGAGATTCCTTTCTTTCTCTTGTTCATAATCAGCATTGTGCCCTTCAACTCTTGACCATCCTTTTAGTTGTGGTAAATTAACCAAACTCAGATGCTCTAAGGATGGAAAGTATGGTGTCTTAGATAAAACCATACTATTATTATCACAAATTTCTATCTACTCCAAGGCAATAAGTCCCCAACGATCAAGATACCTGAGACAACCAAGTTTACTGATGGAGGGTAGATATTTGCATCGATTGCAATCAGCTATATGTATGGAAACAAGGTTACTGAGCAAAGAAGAAAAGTGATCAACCGACCATT